TTTCTTACCTTAAGAGCAAACATTTACAATGCAAATAGTGGTGTGCCTCCAGCTAGCTAGAACTGATTTTGCACATGTCCTCCCAACCCCATGTTTTGTGACATCACATTGGTAGCTTGAAATTAGCCATGGTGGGCGTATTTCACCCTGGCAACTGACAAATGCTGTAAATTAGAGGGGTTTTTTTCCGCTCCAAAAGTGGCTTGCCAACACACCACTCACTGAGCCCAAAAGGCCTCAAGAGTCCTCCAGCCATCACTTTCTACACCAGATGCCACAAAAAGATTACTGCAACCACACACACAAAGATTGGATGGGAAACATCACAGAGATACATCACTATGCAGATAGAAACACAAAAACAAAGTGAAAACCTTGGTAAATTAATTGTACATTCCTTCCACACAGGGTTCTGACAATGAGGTGTCAAGTTTTTTTTAAACCAAGAGTAACTATAATATGCCAGAGAATTTTGAATCAGCCTTATCTGGAGCCACAAATGAATATACTCAAAAGACATATTACAGCTGGAATTCAAGCATCTCAATTGCACACTAATATAATGATGGAATAACCCACTTATCAAAATAGGAGATCTGTCATTTGTCCCAGTGAGCGAATGTAGTGTTGCAATTATAATCCTGTAATGATCAATGAATAATAATGGTCAAGTGAATGAACAGTCTTTGTTTCCTCCTACATGTTTTATCTATTCTCTTAACGTTTAAATGGACTGTTCCTTTTCTTCTGGAACTTTAAACATTATGCTATGTTCCTAAGGCTGGCAATTGTGATAGAAGAAGCACAGATTAAGTGCTTGATGGTTCTCAGAGGCCTTTTTCAGAGCACATCCTGATTAATGCTTACACACACCCACTAAAGTAAGGTGCACCCATTTTCAGAGAAGGAAAAAGATTTCATCATGATAGTAAGAGCTGTGGACTCTGCACCCTATTGTCTTCATTGCTACTGACCATCAGAAGCTGAACATCATAGCCGTCAACACCACAGCCATTAGAATGACGACCAAACTGCCCTTGCTTCTTTCTGTCACTCTTACTGGACAGCTCAGGACAAGAGCTTGTCTCATGTCCACATACTAAGTCTCATGTCAAGATTTCAAGTGAACCAGCATCTGGTCTTCTTTTGGCGTCTGTCGTAGGATGAAGATCCTCCACCTAGCAAGACTCTCAAAATGGTGGCATCCCTAAACAGAAGAGAGTTCAGATTCTGGACAGTAGATATTATTATTATTATTACCACTACTATTATGGACATCTATCCTATTCATGGCAGCTTATTATCTTTTTTGAGTCTTCCTCCTATATTTGGGGAAATATTCAAATCATGAGTCATCACCACTCCAACATAGGAGTCAGAATGCAATCTGCAATCTTAGCCTAATTCAGGCACATGGATTAGTTACTGCCCATCAGGGACCCCATCATAAGCTACTGATTCAGCGGTAAGCAACAAAAGGAAAGAGGCTCTACATGGACCTTCCATTTTTGCATCTTCACTGGTGAGGGGGAGGCAGAGGTGTCTGGTTTTTTGTGGTGACTGTTTCCCAGGAATTACAGTAGTATCTTTCTGATGTAGAAGCAGAAGCTATGGAGCAGCAAGAGTTTCCTATCCGATCTGTGGCTTGGTTTGGGGTATTGTACACCAAGACTTAGCCTCAAGCCAGTTTTCCAGTGCACTCAACAGTTCTGTGATCCACCTGATATTTTTTTAAAGATTTTATTTATTTATTTGACAGACAGAGACAGCGAGAGAGGTAACACAAGCAGGCGAAGTGGGAGAGGGAGAAGCAGGCCTCGTGCCGAGCAGAGAGCCCGATGCGGGGCTCGATCCCAGGACCCTGGGATCTTGACCTGAGCCGAAGGCAGACGCTAAATGACTGAGCCACCCAGGTGCCCCCCACCTGATATTTTTTAAATAAAATGCTTTTCCATTTATTCAGCAAGAGTCATCCTCTGTTGCTTAGAGAACTCTAATACAGGAACACTAATACAATTATTTTTCCTATTTCTCAGGTATGGAAATTGAGCTTTAGGAGGTTAAACTGCTTACGATCACAAAGTTAGTCAATGAGAGAGCAAGGATTTGAACCAGGACTATCATAACCCAAAGCCCACCTCTAAATCAGAAAGATTATACCACAAGACCATAAAACTAATGAATCAGAATTGAGTTGTTGCTATTTTTTTAAGTTAGAATAAATGATAGAAATCTATAGTCTCACCTGAAGTTCTGAAAAATAAAGTGTCATAGCAGAGGCCACAACCCAAATCTTCTGACCTGATGTGCTTTCCATGGTATCTCTCATCCTCATAATCCTGCCACATTTTTGCTTTATATATTTTGAGATGAGTTTTTTTACCGTAATTGAGTTTAAGAATATTATACAGGGAGGAGGTGACCGATTGTTCTTGCATCCCACACTTTCCTTGTGTATTCAATGTCCATCTTACCAAATTATATTCCTTCGTAGCTCTTTCGGCAAGAGTCTATTTTTAAATTATTTATCAGAAAATGCCTTTATTTTTTCCTCATTCTTGAATGACAGTTCAGTTGGATATAGATTCCTAGGTTGAACATTTTTCAACACTTTGAAGATACTATTTCATTGTTTTCTAGTGTCTGTTGAGGCTGATAAAAACTTTACTATCGATCTACTTGGCCTACATTTGTGATTAATCTATGTTTTCTAGTTGTTTTACTATTTTATTTTTCTTTAATAGTCTGCACTATCAGTCCACTGTGAGGTTTGTTCTAAGTTATCTTGCTTGGGACATGCTTTTCATTCTTAGGACCCTTATCTTTCATCAGTTCTGGAAAACTCCCCATCATGACCTCTTCTAGCATTGTCTTAACCTCTCTGCAGAGTAAACTGCTAGCTGTCCTCTCATAGCCACTGTTCTCTATTTCCTTTGGGAGAACTATCACTTTTTTTTTCTGGGAACATAGATAGAACCTCTCCCTGCCTCCCTAATGGGTCTGTGATAGAAGTGCTATGTGTATCTTCTAGATAGTGCTTTTAAAAGACACAGGCAGCCATGACCCTTTTCCCTTCCTTGCAACCCCCCTCCCCACCACCACCACCCCTGCTTAGGATGTAGACCCAAACACCAGAGCTAAAGAAACCATGTGGGATCCTGAAATAGAAGCCACAGATTAAAATAACAGAGCTGCTTACTAGCCCTTGGCCTCTAGACTGTTATATGGGAAATAAATTTCTATCTTTAGGCCTTTATATTCTAGGGTCTTTTTTTTTAAAGCAACTTCTATTATATCTTAGCAATTATATCTCTGTTCTCTCTACTCTCCCCTTTCCTTATGCCTTCCTTAGTGTGTGTGTATGTGGATGTGTGTGGATGTGTATGCGCGCACGCATATGCACACGTGACCTCATTCTAACTTCCATTTCTCTTATTCATGTTCATATTTTTCTACCTCATTATTTTTCCGTGCTACATTCTAGGTGAATGTAGTCTTGGTTCTTTCTTAGAGTTCACTTGTTCACTTCAGAAGTCTAATGTGGCATTTAATGGGTCCCTTTGAATTTCTAATGTCAGTAAATACATTTTTAATTTCTATACTTTATATTTGATTATTTTTCAAATAAACCTCCTCTTTTTTCATAAGCTATTCTTTCATTCTATTCCTTTATGTCTTTGACATTCAAAAGACACCTATATCATAACCTCTTTCAGATTTTTTTAAGTTAGCTCAGTTTTGGGGTAACTAACTTTCCTATTTCCAGGTTCCCCAACAGGGTGATTCATTTCCTCATTTGGTTTGTAATTTTTTATTAACACTTCATCTTCAGCAGGACCAGTTATCCCAATGGATACCTGTGTGATAAGTTGTAGAAATACCCCTAACACAGCAGTTTGTTTGTCTCCGGTGAAATTCTGAGGTTTCAAAGGTCCTGGACCAGTTTTTATGGTAACTCCTCAGGCTGAAATTTCTATATCCCATAGGTTATATAAATTTGAATCCTACATTAACTCATGGTAAGGCCTGGGGGACACTTACATTTTCCCACCAACAGCCCCAGATAAAATAAAGCTTCCTTTCTGCTTCCCCACAACAGTTGTGAATGTTTCCCCAAGGTAGTTACAGTCAAGTAGTTAACACAATCCCTTCATGGATGAGGCACCACCCCCCTCCCCACCCAGCCCCCAGGGTTTATTGAGAGAACTCTGTCATGGAGTTATCAGATGAAATACGAAACACCTGGCTAAATTTGAATGTCAGATAAACATTTTTTAGTATAGGAATGTCCCATTCAACTTTTGGAACATACTTATATATATATTTAAAGTGTTCATTGTTTATCTGTACTTTTATTTATTTTTTTAGCGAGAGCGTGCATGTGGGGGTGGGGGGGGGGGGGGACAGAGAGAATCTTAAGCAAGGAGGGCTTGATCTCAAAACACTGAGATCATGACCTGAGTCAAAATCAAGAGTCTGACGCTTAACCAACTGAGCCATCCAGGCACCCCTGCATCCTGTACTTTTAAATGCTAAATCTGATAATCCCAGTCACAGTGCCCTGCCTAAACTTGGCCTTGGGGCCACATATCCTGTCCCTACATGGCCTCAATATCTGAGCCTCCAGATTCTAGGACCTACATGTAGCACCAGCCAGTTAGCTACAGTTATCACACTGGCTCTGAGTTCCTTTTTCATACTAAGAATAAGACTATTATCCTTACTTTTTTCAAGACTGGTTATATATAAATATTTGACATTTCTGCCACATTTTATCTAGGCTTTCTATGTGGCAGTAGAGGGAGGGAAGGCTTGTCCATGTCAGCTCAGGCTGCTATTTGTCACAAATATTTCAGTTGAGCACTATACTATGCCATCCAATGGAAAGCCTGGAGCACAGAGGGGTTAATTCACCCAAATTAATTGAAAGATGAGGGAATGTGCAGAAACAAGTCCTTACAACTTGTACTCTGGGGATGCTGCTCATTTTGGCAAAAGGAAGTTTTCCTACAGGATGGATTCTTCAAGAGAAGCAAACATGTCCCAGTTTTAGCTAAGGTTTGGCTTCCCAAGAACCTGGGCCTCCAAGGATTTCCCCTCTATTTGGGAAGCATAGGAAAGGCAGTAAAATTCTGACTTTACTGCACTTTATTTTCACTGGGCCAACTACGAGATGAAAAGCTAGATGGGAAGGTAAAAATAGAAAATTATTAACTAAAAGGGGTTGAAACATTTATATTTTAAGACCTTAAATTAGTCAAAATCTAGAAAATGGAAGACACCAAGTCATCGGATGAGAAAATACAGTGCTTTTGTATTGAAATCTTTCAGAGAAAGGCCCCTTTCAACACAGTTCTAAATAAAGTTCTCAGAATTGAAGAACAGTATTTTGTCTTCACTTTAGACACGGAAAATCCCCTGGACCAAAAATTCCAAAATCCTTCCCGGATATTTTCCGATGTTTTTCAATAATTCCACACCCCCCACATGGTTTCCAGGCAGTGCCTAATTTAGCCTGGACCCAAATATTCACCAAAGATCTCAAATCCAGGCTTTTAATATATTCTCAAAATGAAATTTAACTTCCTGGTTTCGTATTCTCTGGGTTAAAGGTACTGATTTCCTCAAGATAAGCATTTTTAGAACACAACAACTTTTGAAACTGTTTTGGTACATCTATACTTTTTTTTTTTTTTTAGTATTCCGTAAGTCCTGAAAATTGATCCATGCCCTGGGCTTTTTCTGCCCCCCTGACAGGCTCTGCTGCTAAAAATTCATGTTGTATAAGCCTTAAAGAGTATGCATACCTTTCATTATCTCCTAGCTTGATGTGAGTTCATGAAAATAATGTACACAAGGAGTTATTTATAAAATAGAAAAATGGACTAATGCTTCTGAAGCTTGTCTCTTGGCCCAGAACTTCTTTGCTGCATGGGATCTGCCACTCTAACCTACCCTCACCTCCATTTCTACCTCTACCTCCACCTCCTAGGTCTGTAGGAATCCTCCCAGGACAGGTCTACTCCACTTTAAGGAAACTCACTGGTTGATGACAGTCCAAATTATGACCCTCCAAACTTCCAAAACAAATCAGAGAACCATAGGATTTTTAATATGTTTTATTTCAGAGTAAACCATGTAGCCTGGAAAACATTTGGAAATTTCACAAAAGCATAAAGAAGTGGAAGTAACATATATCTTCACCACTGAGATATGTTTCTCTGCATAAAACAGATGTTTCACAAAAATGGAATCATACTCTAGGAGCTGTAGAATTTTCTTTTTTCGCTTATCTATATATTGTGAACATTTCCCACCACATTCAATGGTTTTGCTGGTAACAATGTAGTGACTACACATTCCATTTTTACAAATATGTTCATTTATTTCATTATTCCTCTTTTTGGGAGCATTTAGATTGTCCCCAGTTTCTCTCAACTCTGTGATAACGATCCTTGTTGAAGAGTTATTCTTGCAGTCAGCCATGATTACATCGTTAGGATAAATTCCCAAAGTAAACCTGGTAGACTGAAGAACAGGCACATCTTCAAGGTCTGAGGTACCCACTGCCAAGTTACCTTGCAAAAGGTTTATCAGTCCTGCACTAGTATACAAGAGTATCTATTTACCTGCTTCAAGGAGTCTTGCATAAACTAGTAAGTGATTATCTGTCATGCAAAAGGACTCTTCATTAATGAAAAGAATTTACAACATGATTTCTGTAAACACAGAACGCTCCTAGTCCAATGTAGAACATTATTCAATTTAAAATATGACTTTAAGTTTCTGTGGAAATTTTCTGTAACACAATTGAGAGAGAAAATAAGTATTTCTCTATTTGATTTTTGTTTTAAATGGTGAATGCGACCTCTCAAAGAACTCTTTCTCTTTCCCTTTCTGCCCTCATCTAGACTGAGAAGAGATACCAAAGTACAGTACAGTTATTCTGCTGTTCATCCATCCTCTATTTCGTATTCAGTTTCCCATCATGCACCGGATAAACACGGCAGCCCTGACATGATGAGAAGTCTTCCCTGAAGACTACAGCCCACACTCATCCATCCCTTCACTGAACTCCTATTATACTTATTGTCTGTACCACACAATTAGCACTTTATTATATACTGTCTTGTTCTCTAATTGTCTGTACCACACAATTTAGCACTTTATTACATTCTGTCAGATTCTGTAATTGTGTCACGAATTTTTGCCTTGTCTCTCCACCTAGATTAACAAGCACCAGGGTGGCAAGGGGCCCTGTCTGGTGCTGCTCTGGCATTCCAAACCCTGCCCTAGGAACAACAAAGTGGGCTTTCGACAAATGCTGAGGGCTTCACTGTTGGTGGGTGAGTTGGGAGAGGGGTAGATTGACTTTGTGATGGGCTCTAAGTAGATGGAGCTACGGCGAACAGAGACAGGGAAGGCGCTGAGTGGCAAGAGGCTCCGTGCTGTGGTCATTCCCGCCACTCCCCTTCAGTACCACCTGCTCTGTCAGCTAGCAAGTCATTTAGTTTCCAAGTTTTTCTAGGTACATAGAACAGGGAAACCAAAACATCTAACCATACAATACCCATGAGAATCACATGTTTTTCACTGTCACATTCTCCAATGAGGGAGGCACTGCTCTGCAGAGAAAGAGGTCATGCTTTAGAATGAGACTTACCACCTGTGTGACCATCTATACATTGTTTAACACCTCTCCCTAAAATCAAACCCTTGTTCCTCATCTCTGAAAATGATTCCAATGACTGTGATTATTTGTGATACTGCCACTGAGTATCCAAAAGCCCGTTGGAATATTCTTATTTTTTCTAACTTCTACAAATGCCATTCCTTGAGTTAAGTGTTTAATATTGTTATTATTACAATAAACATAATTAGTACCTCTGTTAGTCTCACACACTAGTTGAAGAGTGTCTGCCCTGCCTGTGTTTCATGGGTTTGCTTCTCAGAGAATAAAGTCAGGTAGTTACACAATTTCTTTATTTTTCTTGGTCGAAGAGTCGTTTACACTTAGTGGTCTATCACATGACATCAGACTTACTTCTAGTAAATAATAAGAGAGGAAACACCCAATATCCAGCATTAGCAGATCCATGCCTCAGTCTGTCACTTTTACCTCCGCTGTGAACATTTAGGTGACTGGAGCACTGAGTTAACCACATTTCTCTGAATTTGGGATGATACAAATAAAATGTTCTGTCCCTGTATGTCATCTGCCTTTCCCCTTTCTGATCAATGTTTTGCCATACTGTACTGTCATGTTTTTGTCCTTGTTTTTTCAATTGGCAGGTGCACAATATGATGTAACCAGTCAAACAGTTGTTCAACATGCTACTCTCTCAAAACAAGACCAATGCAAGCCTCTCCCAGAAGTGCCGCTCTCCCCTAAGGACCCAAGGAGCCCAGAGAGCCTTAGATGGATATTTTGTAGGGTAGGGGATGTCCCTTTAAGAACAGCTTCCCTCCCGGGCACCTGGGTGGCTCAGTTGGTTAAGAGACTGCCTTCAGCTCAGGTCAGGATCCCAGAGTCCTGGGATGGAACCCCACATTATCGGGCTCCTGGCTCAGCGGGGAGCCTGCTTCTCCCTCTGACCCTCTCCCCTCTCATGCTGTTTCTCTCTCTCTCTCTCTCTCAAATAAATAAATAAATAAAATCTTAAAAAAAAAAAAAAAAAGAACAGCTCCCCTCCCTGTGTGTGTGTTGCCTGGATGTCCCTCTGGTAAAGACGAGAGGTTTTCTTTTGCATATCTTTGCAAAATGAGTGTTTGATTATACTTCAAGGGATATTTACCAAGGTCTGCCATGTGACAGGCAGGAATGGGGTGCTGGCCATACAAAGACGAATACCACAAAGATAGGAGCTCATACTTGAGGAGCCAGCAGTCAAACGGGGAAACAGACTTGCCAACAGATAATTACCATGCACTGAGATAAGTGTGCAAAGAACGTGTGTGGCCAGCCCACCACAAAGGATCAACTTTGTTTGATCAATCTAAGGGAACAGTTGACCTGGTTAGGAGTTGATTAGACTCAAGGAAGCCACTGCTTAAAGACGGTTTTGTGGCAGCCTTGGGTGGAAGAAAGGAGGACAGGAAGGGAAGCCTTGGGGTGGAAAGGAAAAAAAGGCCTTGTCTCCACCTTTGGTTCCCTGCCTTGGCTCCGTAGGCTCAAACCTGAGCCCTGTGCAGGCAGATCCTTCAGACGGGGAGGGAGGGGGCTCAGTGAGACACTGAATACACGTCATGCTGCTCTGGGGCCTGGGTGACAGAATGTGGCAAGGCAGAAGACAAAGGGCTTCTCTCCACACCTTCAGGCACCAGGAGAGAGCAACCTTGGCCGAGTGGCTGTGGCTGAGAGGAGACACTGCCCCCCAGTGGTTTCACAGCAGGGGATACCAACAAGGAGCTCAAAGCAGAACAGCAAAGGATGAAAGGGGGCCCACTTCAAGTATCACCCTGCCCCTCAGACCAACCTCGGGGGGAAACGTGGAGGCAGGGGTGGTTCTGCACGAGGCAGGCAGAGGCACAAACCAATGCAATGTGAGTTATTACCATGGTTACAATAACCATGACCATGCAGGCTGATGCTCAGGTAAAAGGCAGGGAAGCGCAGGTTCACCATACACAAGAGTTGTGTGGACACAAAAAAAAGCACTTATTTTCTGGTCCTGAGAATAAGCAGAGCAATGTCTATGCTAGTTAGTAATGGAACTGACGTCTGGTAAGGTGGAGAGACAAGAGGTGCGGGATAAGTAACAAAAGAAGATTCAGACAGCAACGCTGAGGACTGGGGGTGGGGACTGAGTGCTGGTATAAGGGGTTCAGCCAGGGGAGCAGAGGGGTGTAAGCAAAGCTCTGGGTGGGGGAGCTTCCTGCAAGATGGCACTAAAGAGAGCAGCCCCGAGTCTGTAGGCAGACTGGAGTCGGATGACTAGACAGAAATGTCCAGATCCACATTCTAAAAATAAGACTTATCCCCTGAGCCAAACAAAATTAAATTCGATCTCCGAGTCCATGATTGAATAGAATTCAAACAACGAGAACAACCACCAAACATTGTAAACAGTACTAAAGGGCACACTGAAAAAGAAGTCTCTCTGAACCTCGATCCCCTCCCCTCCCAGGAGAAATGGCTGAGGATAAGCGCAAGTTGTTTAACTGTTGACAGATTCTCTAGATTGGTAAATAGCTGCTGTTTAAAGCCCCCTGAGTGCTGCCCCCCCAGAATTTCAATCAACCATTAAAGAGTTACAGCTTAGATACTTGAGGATCTGCAGCATGCTTTCAGATCTAAAGCCAGCAGCCATCCCTCTTCCCAGCACTGACCCAGTTGTTAAATATTTGAATATCACTGTTATCCTCCCAGATAACATACCTACAGATACAGGTACCTCTCGACACACACCTTTTTTTTTTTTCTTTTAATACAAATGGAAGAATTGAATAAATACTGTTCTGTACTTTGCTTTTCTTTCTTTCTTTTTTTAACCTAGTTGGCCCACCTTTAAATGTACGGCCAAATATAGATTGTAGGCATTTCTTTCAGAGTTGACATAATTTAGCTGTAACTAAGATACCTAACCTGAGGAACAGAGCACAGGAATAACAAACTTTAGAATAACTTATGTGAACTTTGGGGGGGGGCCCAGAAGAACCTGGTTGATGGGGGCAGTAGGAATAACATGGGAAGCTGAGTCTGCTAGTCCAAGACAGTAGCGCCCGGATGGCTTGGGCAATGGGTATGAGAAGGGGCAGGACTAACAAAATTTCCCCCAAACCCCCACAGAAGCCATCTGAGCTCCCGCCCCCTGCTCCCAGCTGACAGGAGGGGCCCAGACTTCCCTGAGCCCAGACTGTTAGTGCTTGAGTTCAGCTATTACCCAGAACTGAAGCAGCCTTGGGTGGAAGCAAAGGAAATTTCAAGTTGCGCTTACCTCACTGAACATGTTCCAGGGAGTTTTCCCTTCACTCAAAAAGGACATAAAATGAAAGTTCTTCATAAATGAGCTAAAATATATTTCTCCCAAGAGCTCCATCTTCACCTCAAATGCTGAAAGGAAGCACAGAGTTATATTCATGAGGGAGAAAATACTTATAAACTAAACTTGAACTAGATTTTTTAAAGCATCCTCTACATATCAGAAAGTCAAGACCACTGAGTGTACTCTTTTCATAGCCATATTTATCTTCAAAACCCAAAGAACTAGTTTATGGGGGACTGAATTTTCTATGTCTGATTTCTGTGTGATTTTCCATACATCATTTTTTCATTATTTTAATATTGAGACAGAGATTACAGAAGCATGTTTAAAATTGAAGATGTCCGCTCCATAGATTTTTGGGAAAAGGAGGCTAGGGAAATGGGGTCAGAAAAAGATTACCTAATATTTTTATTTTTACTGATATTCCCAAAAACTTTCAGTTGGGGAAAGTCATTAAACAAGAAAGCAATTTCTGCTGACAGACTGTCACCTAGTGGTGAGTTTTCACCTAATTCATAATATGACCAGCTTCTGAGCTTTGGCATGTTCTTGGAAGACATGTTTATTTCTCTTTGAGATCCCTGGGGAACCTTATAGAGTGCTGTCGCAAGTAAAACAGACTCACTTGGGAGAAAGGCTCTTTCCTTTCTGTCCGGCAGCAGCCATCAGCTCAAAGGTAGGCCAAGACGGGCGCTTACAAGTACTTCCAGGAGCTATGGAGGAAGCAGTCCGATGAAATGCGCTTCTCAGGGTGTGCTGCTGGGAGTACCGCCAGCTCTCTGTGCTCCACAGGGCCCCCCGCCTAACCTGGCCCGATAAAGTATGCAGGCTGGGGTACAAGGCCAAGCAAGGTTATGTCATATATCGGATTCGCGTGCGTCGTGGTGGCCGCAAACGCCCAGTTCCTAAGGGTGCTACCTAAGGCAAGCCTGTCCATCATGGTGTTAACCAGCTCAAGTTTGCCGGAAGCCTTCAGTCTGTTGTAGAGGAGTGAGCTGGACGCCACTGTGGGGCTGAGAGTCTTGAATTCTTCCTGGGTTGGTGAAGATTCCACATACAAATTCTCTGAGGTTATCCTCATTGATCCATTCCATAAAGCTATCAGAAGAAATCCTGACACCCAGTGGATCACCAAACCAGTCCACAAGCACAGGGAGATGCGAGGGCTGACATCTGCAGGCTGCAAGAGCCGTGGCCTTGGAAAGGGTCACAAGTTCCACCACACTATTGGTGGTTCTCGCCATGCGTCACGGAGAAGACGTAATACTCTCCAGCTCCACCGTTACCGCTAATGTAAATAATGTTTGTAAAATTCTTACCTAATAAACAGTTTAGGACAGTCATGTCTGCTTAAAAAAAAAACAAAACAAAACAGACTCACTTGTGTGCCTTCCAACAGCCTATAGGCAATACCTAATACAAGCCGAACATCCTTCAAAAGGAAGTTTTGCCTCTGTAATTATTTTAATATTGTCAAAGAAGACCTGCCAAGCAAAATTAATATTAACTTCCTTTTCTGTTTTCAAACGATGGCACCCTCATAATTCTCCCTTGCCAACCATTAAACTAGGCCCAAATTTTCAAAGTGTTTTCCAATTATTACGAGATGATAAATCAATGTGGGGATCCCACTGGCATGTCAGACCATAGATACAATCCAGAAAAGGGGGCTCAAAGTCAACAAGGCAACATCCTCCAGATTTTTTTTTTTTTAAAGATTTTATTTATTTATTTGACAGAGACAGAGATAGCGAGAGCAGGAACACAAGCAGCAGGAGTGGGAGAGGGAGAAGCAGGCTTCCCCCCGAGGAGGGAGCCCGATGTGGGACTCGATCCCAGGACCCTGGGATCATTACCTGAGGAGAAGGCAGACGCTTAATGACTGAGCCACCCAGGCACCCCACATCCCCCAGATTTAATGCAGTCAGCAATCCCTTCCTTCTTGCTCTCAGAGAGGCACTGCAGGCCTCTTTATCTGGCCCCTGTGTCCTCGGTGCTCCCTAGTTCTCATTCTCTGTGTTGACACCATCCCTCTTGGCCACAGGGGGCCTGACTCTTGTATAAACACCAGTCAACAAGGAGGTACCCTCTTCCCATCAATTCAAAAGTTTATGTTCAGGCAACAGAGCTAGGATACTGCTCTCACTTATCAAGATTCATTCTGCATTGTGTACTATTTCAACTACTTATTGAGTGCCTACCACGTAGCAGGCACTATATGTGTCCCAAGGAAGAGAACAGAAACTGTTCTAGTGAAACTTAACCAACTAATGGGGAGCACTAAACACACTAATGAGTTGTAATGGATGCTATGAGGTGGTCTGGGTGTTATGAGGAGAGTCTGCACACCAGTTAACTTCTCAGGAGGGTTACATTTGAGCCAAGATCTGAAGGATGAGTGAGTAGCAGTCAGCCTGAAGAAGAGCAGCTTGGGCACAGATGAGAGCCCTGATCGTGATAAGGACTTGGGGCTTCGGAAAAACTAAACAGAGGCCAAAATGCCATAAACTAACTCCACTGGAAAAAAGATACCACAATATTCCAGGAGGTCTAAAATCTGCCATCACAATAGTAACATTATCCATAATAGCCAAAAAACAGAAAGAACTCAGATGTCCCTCAACCGATGAATAAAATGTGGTATACCCATACAATGGAATATTATTTGGCCATAAAAAGGGACAAAGTACTGATTCCTGCTGCAATATGGATGAACTTTGAAAACATTACACTAAGGGAAAGAAGCCAGACACAAAGGACTACATGATGTATGCTTTCATTTATATGAAATGTCCAGAACAGGCAAATCTATAAAAACAGAAAGCTTAACAGTTGCTTAGAGCCAGGGGCCAGGAGGAGGAAAAGAATGGGAAGTGACTGCTAACTATGGATTGTTGGGGATCATGAAATTGCTCTAAAATTGACTGCAGCAATGGTTGTGCAACTCTGTGAAATTACAGCAGAGAATACTGAAATATGCTAAAAATAGGTGAATCGTATAGTATTGAATAGTATCTCCATAAAGGTTAGTATTATTAAAAGATTAAGATTATTGCTATTAGGGCGCCTGGGTGGCTCAGTTGGTTAAGCGACTGCCTTCAGCTCAGGTCATGATCCTGGAGTCCCGGGATGGAGTCCCGCATCGGGCTCCCTGCTCGGCAGGGAGCCTGCTTCTCCCTCTGACCCTCCCCCCTCTCGTGTGCTCTCTGTCTCTCTCATTCTCTCTGTCTCAAATAAATAAATTAAAAAAAAAAAAAATCTAAAAAAAAAAAGATTATTGCTATTAAAAATAAAAATCTGGAGTCACAGATCCCGGGTTAAGAATGCCAAATATGGAAGCGCATCTTCTGTTCCTTTTTTCCTTTGAGCTGGAACCAATATGCCTTCACCAAAGGGCCGGGCCAGGAGACAGTTGAGCATGACTGATCTCAAAACTATCCTTTCCTGTGACCCCAAAGCATTCTCTGAAACCCAGTTTCTGTACAGGACTTTTCTTCTCTCAAGAGATGTCCCTCTACTAGTTAGCATTCAGCCTCAGAAATAAAACCCTGAAAGGGTCTTTGTCTTGGGGACCAGCAATCGTGTCCCACTTCTAGTCATGGCCTGCTCCCTGCTCTGAAGATCTCTGAACTTTGATGCAAAAAATAAACTTTGGCTTTTCCATCAGCCCCACCAACATGCCCACACAACCAGAATTCCCAGGAGTAATTCTCATACCTATGAGTCGGTTATATGTCTTTACAAGGAATGCAAAGAGCTCTTCTTGCTCACCTATGGACAGAACTTTTTTAGGCCCACAATGGATAGCAACACTTCCAAAATCCAAATTACATTCTCCTTCCTTCATGAATGTTCCTCAGTATAGCAGTGTTCTGGCTGTCTACAATCCATTTCCTCTTTTCTGGTGACAACTGTATATATATAATATACAATGTAGATAATATATAATAAAAAATGTATATTTTGCTTTCTTCCATTTCCCCCGAACAGAGCTCCTCAAACTCTTGGCATTTTGTAAGAGATGAGAGCAATAAATGTCTTTTGTTATGTTAATAAGGTGACTTTGGGAAAGCACTTACGATGGGGGCTGGGTGCAAGGAGAACCAACCATGTGATTAGAAGGTTGAAACTTTCAGTTCTACCCGCAACCTTCTCCAAAGTTGAATTAATCACCAATGGCCAGTGATTTAATCAATCGTGCCTATGTAATGAAGCCTCCATAAAAACCCAAAAAGGAGGGCTTTCGGCGGGCTTCTAGTTGGTGAACATAGAGATTTTAGGAGAGTGGTACACTCGTACTCAGAGAAAACAGGGAAACTATGAGCCCTTTCCCCACCCCTTGCCCTAGGCATTTCTTCCACCCGGCTATTCCCAAGTTACATCCTTTAATAAAAGCCAGTGATCTAGTAAGTAAAATGTTTCTTTGAGTTCTGTGAGCTGCTGCAGCAAATTATCAAAGAAGGGGTCTGGTTTATAGCCAATGGGTCAGAAGCACAGGTAAGAGCCCGGGTCTGATGTGGCGTCTGAAGTGGGGGTGGGGTGGGGAGAGCAGACTTGTAGGACTGAACCCTTAATCTGTGGAATCTGATGCTATCTCTGAGTAGATAGTACCAGAATTGAGTTAAATTGTAGGACACCCAGCTGGTGTCAGAGAACTTTTCATTCTTAGTGTGGGGAACACCCCCCACACCCTGCAATTGGTACTAGAGCATTTAACATCATTACAAGAAGGTGAGGGGAACCCTTCTGGGGAACCACCCTTTTCCCACATTAGTTCCGGAGGCCATGATAGGGTCCACTGCCCTTTCCAAGGATGGAACATGTGACCAGTCTGATCAATTACAGTGCACTGTATCCCCCAAGCTCTTTCCTCCACGTCACTGAGTTTCAAACTTGAATTGTAGTGAACACAATATGATGTGGAACCCCAATATATTTTTTTAAAACAAAGGACAGTTGAAGGGAGTAAAGGAGTAAATGTCTCCAAATCCCACCCTCTTGGCCTGCAGGTGGACAGGACTGCACTCTGCACTGTAGGAAAAACAAAAGAACAGGACATGGCACCTGCCTTGAGCACCTCACAGTGGAGTTGCAGGACAAGAAATAAGAGCATGAGAAGTAATGATGATTAAATGATACTGTATAACAATAGAAGACAGGTCACAGAGTCCATGCCACTTAGCAGACAAGTGTTAGAGGACTTCCGGCCAGCAGTGAGCCTTTTGCTGCCTCTTCTTTCTCCTTGTCTAGGACAGCTCAGGTGTCACCTCCCCAGGAAGACTTTTCAGAAACACTGTCCTGCTTCATCATACACACACATACATGCATACCCACACACTCACCCCTCTGCCCAGCTTAAGGTCTTCCCCTCCCTCAGTGTTTCATATTTTTGCACAGGCATACATATTTTTAAAGATAAATGTCTTTCCCACAATTCATCAGAGAAGCTCTGAGTGTCTTAAGGGGTGAGGCCCTTTCTTCCCCATTCCAGTGAGACCCTTCCTTCCCCACCCTCTTCTTTCCATAGCTTCTTCCACAGGTGTCAGCCCTGAATGACAATCAAGGCTCTCCCTGCCTTCTCTGGGTCCCTCCCCCAATATATTTCTTGCACATCAAATTCCATTTTAGCATCTGTTTCTTAACAAACCCTAACACATTACTAGAAGGCATTGCTTTATACTACCATATTTCTTTAAACAGTAGTTTATTCATTTAGCATATTGGTTTATTGGTTGACAACCTTAAACCTAATGTCCTATACCTTTTGGGTACTGAAATATTTAATTTTGCATATATTAAAGTGTGACTTTGAAAAAAAATTACTAACATTGTCCCATTGGGATATAATATTCTTGTCAACATTACAAGACAAACCTAGGATTTTCCCTTTCTTTTTTTGTAGGATAACATAGAGTGGTGATTAAAAGTATCATCTTCCAGACTACTTGAATCCAGATCACCACTCAACTACCCACAGCCCGCTAGCCTTTGGCAAGTCACTTAAACTCTCTACGTCTCTGAATGGGATGATGCTTCCTCAACCGTAAAATGTGAACTTAAAAAATAGTACCTATCACAAAGGATTGTTCTATGAATTGATTAATGAATTAATTTCTGGAGCTGTGTGCAATGAAAGAACTTCTACAATGGATTTAAAAGCACGGTGCAAACTAGAAAGCCCTTGGGAAATTTATTTTCTCTCAATGAAATAAGCATCGACCACTGCCTTTTATGGAACATTGAGGTTAATTCACCTCAACAAGAGGGAGCTGAGGACTTGTTTATGGCTGTGTTTCTGATTTATTAGCACAGTACATGATATTAGAAAATAAACTCCTGACATTCCTACAAGTAGAGATACTTCGTTTAAAATTATTTCTCCCTTTCAGAACTCAACTGTTCTCCAGAATACGCAGGAAAGCTGCCACTTTAGTAACTAATCCGCTTTTAATATTCGTCATCTCCTTTGAGATGGCAGGCGGTGTTCTCAGCAAGCTTCCGAAAGAGCACACATTTCAAAGCCCACAACCACGAAATACCTGTTGCTGCAGGGCCCTGGACAGAAGTTAAGGCGAAAGAGAGCCCAGGAGGCGTCAGCAAGCGGAAGGACCCGCTGAGCCGAAGAGGAAGAGAGAGGCTTGCCCGGGGGAATCCAGACGCACCGCAGCACGCGCGACGGGTCCCGAGGTGCAAAAACTCAGGTGCTCGCAGTCCCGGCGCCTCACCCACACCGCCCAGGTAACGCCGAGATGCGGGAAACTGCACGCGTGCGCAGCGTCGCGGGGGCGCGCCTCTCCGCGCGCCGCGGGCACAGGCGCGGGCCCCGCCGCTCCGGGCCCCGGGAGTGGGGGCACGTGGTGTGGGGCCGCGCGGCCGCGGCGGGGGCGCGGGGCGGCGCGCGGCGGTGCAGGGAGCGGCGGCGGCTGCCCGGCGAGCTAGGCGGACCCGGGCGCGTCCGGTGAGCGCGGCTCCCGCGGGGTGGACGGACGGACGGACGGAGACTACCAGCGGATGGGGGCAGAGGGTCGCGGGGACGGGACTCGGGGCGGGGAGGCGGCCGGGGACGGCCGGGAGGAGAGGGGAGGGCAGAGAAGCGGGGACCGTGGGGCTGGAGGAAGTGTGAACGCCATACCCTTCCGCCTGGAGCGAGCGTCCGCACCGCCGCGGGCAGAGGAACCACTCCCCGGACGCTTTCAGGACCGCATAGCTTTCTCTAAGGCTCCTTTCCTCAAAGTGACCCGAGGCCGCGGTGGAGCGAAGCAGACTTTAGCGATGGCCTTTGATCCAACCCCTTCTATTTATGGGAACTTGCTTATATTTCTGCGTTTTGTTTTTGTGTTTGTTTCTTTAGTTTCTCCATTTTCTCTTTTTTTTCTACGTATTTCTCAAGTCATTCACCATGCCCAGAGCTGCATCCTTCTTCTCCCCCAGAGATTTTTTTTCAACTGTGTCCTTTTTAAGAGGACTGACTTAGGCAACTTGAGTTCTTTGCACTAAGTGTTGTCAGTGAACAGAGGTACAGGATTTCAAGAGTAATATCCCCTCTCCAGCGTTTCAGTGTTAACATTTCAAATTCACATTAAGCCTTAGGCTGGAGGACGTTCTAACCATTTGCTTCTGATACAAGCTATGACGAATACCAAAGCTAGACATTACCAAGTTTATTTAAAATTCAAATTTTACGAAATAGCAACCATTTGCTAACCATCTGTTACTGTTGTTGTGATCTTTTTGCCTCATCTCTTGCTGGAGTTTCAGTGTTCACAAAGTCAGCAAATTTTGTTCATTTAGTGTATTGCTCTGCAGATAGATTTTTTTTGAAGCTGTTCCTGCCCCCTGGTGGCTTGCACTGTAGAAGAAAGCCAAAACTACTCTAATAACTGAGGTAAAATTTTTAAGGAAAAGCAAGTGTTTGAGGGAATTTTGAGGAGTAAGAAATTATCTTCCTCTTGGGGGATCAGGGGATATTCTCTAGTTTTTCAGTGAATTTTTAAAGTTGGCTGAAGTGGGAGATAATGTCATTCCAGATGGGAGAGGCTCCGGAGAGAGGAAGCAGGCCAGACATGGTAGAGACGAGCACCAGGAAATCAGTTGAGATCAAATGAAGAGATCTATACAGAGACCTGCACCAGGGAGTTTGGTATTTCTCCTACGGAAGCCAGGGGGAAGTTACTGCATTTTCTGAGCAGGGCAAAGGCAGGACCAGAAATGTCTGTGTTACCAGGAGATTAACCTGGCAGCCTATGTGGATTTGAGGAGGAAAGTGGGGATTAGAACAATAATTCCCAACTCTGACCCCACACCCCTACAGGCTCTATGTTTTTGAAATTTTTTTTAACCAGATTGCATTTACATGCACTTAATAGTATTTCTTTCAATTAACAGCATATATAAAACTACCCATCCAAGCTTCTGACAGTCCTAAGAATATCAATGTAGTTGCCCTAAGTATGAAATAAATACAGGTAAAAGCTCAGAATCAGAAGTATAGTGTGAGCAGCCTGGTAGGGTTTGACTTAGGAGACTTTTAGTGCTGAACCTAGCTGTTGAGAGTCTTATCATTTGTGCCTTCTTGAGCCCCCTTTGGGCCCCTTGGACCTGAGGTTGTGTCCATCGGTCTAGATAAGAGGTAACAAAGGGTAAGTTCTGAGAGGGGCAGTAAGCAGGGAGGGAGGGATTGCAGGGAAGGAAGATAAGAGCATTGAAATGACTTAGTCCCTGAATGGACCAGAGTACTGAGGGTCAGAGAAGCAATACCAGTAAAAATGAAATGACAGGAAAGCAGGTGCTGGTAAAAATAATAATACTTGTTAACGTCCTATAGCTATCTGACAAGACTTCACAATTGTACTTACTATGTGTCTGGCACTCTTGTTAATCATTCTATGATAAGTAATTCATTTTACTCTCCACAACCTATGAAATATGACTGCTGTTATTTACAGGAGTGAAAACAGACTCACAGAGAAGGTGAATAACAGTTCCAGGGCCGCCCCGTTGCTAAGTGGTGATGCCAGGATGCAGACCCATGATGTCTGACTCCAGAGCTAGTGCTCCAACCCCTCTACTATAAGGAACAAAGGAAGAAATCTTGGGGGACAAGTTGGCAGGTATCTTGAGTTCAGATGCTTGCAGGAGTGCCCGGTGAAGATATGCGGCAAGCATAGCATCCATCTCAGTTAATGTACAGACATTCCTCTGGGACAGACAGGGTCTGTGCCCTGGCCCTGTGTTTTCCCAATGGACCCCCATTTATCTCTCAAAACCTCCCACAGGATTTTAGTCTCCTCTTCAAACTAGGAAAAGTCAGAGAAATTCTAGAATCCCGTATATCAGGTAAGGTTGCCCTTTATTGCCTGCCCTTCAGTGCAGAGCAAAGCTACTTGAAGTATTGGTGCTTAATTTCAGGAGCAAGTTTTGCTAGAGGGACATATCTGTTTGTCAGGGGAGGTATCAAGTTGGCTTTCTACAAAAGCAGTTAAGTTTTGCCATACTGTGCCCTTTCATGTCTTTGTCCTTGTTTTGTCCTCTTTCTGGCTTCCAGGGTTCACCAGAGCCAGAACTCTTGGGGGATACAGAAAAAGTAGAAGATACGATACATGTACTCTGTAAGTTTATATTCCCATTTAGGGAGTTGAGATGAACAGTTAAAAGAACGAACAAAATGAGATAGTTTGTAATTATTACATTATGTAGGTCAAATTTAAGTGTAGCGGGCATTGGGTTTTTAAATATGCCAGTGACCTCAGAACTGTAATATACCCCATCTTCTCTGTTACCTATAGATATCACTGTGCTTGCTCTAAGCCAGGCATCTTTTGTCTGTCACTAAATACACTCTGATTATATTTTTATTTTCTTCTGCAGTTGTTAGACTTTGCATTCGTGGCTTTGAATTTTTATGTCTACAGCTCAAAAAACAGTAACACTTCCGTAACTGGTAAGTGGCAAAGCTGGAGAGCTGAATCGGAAGTCTGCCTGTGGAATCCAGGCTATGAACTAGGATACTCTGTTGTCTCTCATGCCTGTTTTCCACAACCTCTAGACTTTTTTCCACTGGCATGACAGGTGTACTCTCTGTCAGATGGTGAGGAATCCTTTTGCCCCAAATGAGTGGGGTCAGGTTGAGTCTCTGAGCAGTGATCTCCCTGTTCTAGAAGTCATCATCTAGCTACAGTCTGAATACCTCACTCAGTTACCCACATATTCATCACTTTTTAATTGAAGAGAAGGTGTCCAGCAGGTATTTCAGTACAGGAAAAGCAAAGGCAAATAAAATGTATTCCCTGTCCTGGGGAGCTTGGTCTAGTGGGAGAGAGGTAAATAAACAATCATGATAGAGTATACATGGTTTACTAGAGGTAGCAAAACAGAGCAAAACTGGTCAAAATTAGAATATGGAAAGGATAGTTAGGGAAATCTGAAGATAGTTAATTAGATCACACTGAAGCCTTAAAACTGTAAGTGCTGGTTTTAGGTGAGATTCTTGCTTAAAAGAATGAAGCTATGGAAAAAGAAAGGGATGTCCCTTTTGTCCTGACCATATTACAATTTAAGTAATAGTAATTTTTTATATATTTGACCTCCCTGAGTTAGATTCATTTTCTTTCTTGGGTCTGCTGTTGTTTACCCCTGCTCTTTGAGGTTTCAGACTGCCTGTATCACCTGTAGAGATAAAGTGGGAGGCCTTTCTGATAGTACTTTCCCGAACACTGCTCCCTTCTTGTCTCCGCCTTTTCCTGTCTTTAAAAATGGTCACCTCCTCTACAGAATTAAGCTCTACATGTTACATTCTTTTTGTTTGCTCTGTGTCTTTGTGTACTTGTAAGCCTTTTTCACGATTCTAAACTGGGAATGGACTTTGCCTGGGAGTTTTATCATTAATGGACATTCCTTGAAGAAGGAGAGGAATTACATTTATGTTTTGTAGACTTTTTTCAGCAGCTCAATGGCCTCCCCGAAGAAGAAGCTTCAAGGTCTCGTTGCTGCAACCATCACGCCAATGACTGAGCATGGGTAACTATCATTTGGGACCTAAGGGGAATCTGTTCTCACTCCACCAAAATGGACAGAAGTTCTCTATAGTAGCAGTCACTTAGATTCTGCACCTCTGTGGTACTCCTGCCAAATGGCCGCTTCTGTCAGTCATCCCTCCCCCGTACTGTCTCTGATCCCAACTCAGAGAAGAGTCTCTATGTCACAAACAGTGCAGAAAGAGAGAAGGTAAGATATGGCATCTTGCCTTTCTCCCAGTGTCTATAGCTCCACAAAATAAATTCTCTTTGGATTTCATCAGAGGCCTGGCTTTCCCAAATAAGGCCGGTGGAGTTAGATGAGGAGAATCTCATTTTAGCAGAATTTGCTTCTAAGCCCTGGCCTGGCCCCTCTAGATCCTGTCTCTAGATAGCTGCATGATTCCACCTCAGGCTGTTCATAGATGTGATGAAAATGTCCTCGCCTGAGTAAAGAGGGGAAGTTAGCTGCAAGTTGGACCCCTTAGTATGTTTACAGTCTCATTTCAACATGGGTTAAATGTTGGGGGCCTGCAGGAGTGGGAGGTAACAACAGATGATTGCTGAGAACTCATTACCCAGACAAGCACCCTAACTCCCAGGTGAACGTTATGTCAGTCCCTTTGCTCGTACTATCAGCTAACGGTCATGTGCCACAGGTGTATAACCCCTCTCTGGACATTGCCATGGACAAAAAGGGAATTTATCCACCTGGATCTAAATGCTTTTGACCCCTTAGAGTGGTCAGTCTGCCAAAACAGAATTCTGGCTTCTTTAAGCTTCTCCTTTCTTTCTCTTTAAAATACAATGATAATTAACCTGCACGGTGGAGTTCTGGGTGTTAAAGTGAGATATTCCATATAATGGTGCTCAGCACAGGGTCAGGAGGCACTTAGGTCAGTATGTTCATTTGAACCAGACAGGGATAAAAGGAAGATGCGGAATTTAAGAGATCTTTAAGAAAGGCTTTTATTTTTTTGGCCTTCTGTTGTTGAATTTGTAAACCTTAACCCTACCCCCTTTAAAATAGGTGAAATTTCTTATGACTTAGTATTCTCATTCAAAGTTGGCCCTATCGCAGTTTACCCTTAGATCGCTGGAGTTCAAGACCTCCAGTTTCTAAGTTTCATGAAAAATCCCATCTACGTCTAAATCAAATTCTTGCTGAGATGGCATTTAGATTACTCAGTGATTGGTAGCAATTTTTTTTTCTGTTGCTTCTCAGTTTCCGTAAGTCCAAAGAAAGACTGAAGTCAGCTCTTTGTTGATGTGTTAGCCACTTGTTGGGCCAATAAAACAGATAAATCATGTGATTGCATGAGCAGGCAGGATTCACTTCCTGTTATTGAGAAGGATCCTATTTGCAGGCTTACAACACTACATCTGGTTGCTGCTTTAACCTTCTTAATCAGATCCCTCAGCAGAGAAGAGACTCCTTGAACAGTCTTATTTGTTCATTTAGGACTCACTGAGAGTTTTGGTGTGTTCTTCCTCCCTATTCTGCTGTTTTCCGGGGACGCCAAGCCCCACATATGAAGATAAATGACTCTGCTTTTCTGGATCCTTCTCCATTCCCCAATACCTCTGGCCCTGCTTCCTCCATTTCTCTGTTTCTTCTTCTTTTTTTTTTTTTATCCTTTTCCCTTCTAGGACTTTCTAGGACCTTCACTTTCCTGATGTGTGCAATCAAAATAAGAATGTATTTTTTTTGCAAGGGCCTTAAGAATTAAAATGTACAGGGACGCCTGAATGGCTCAGTCGGTTAAGCATCTGCCTTCGGCTCAGGTCATGATCCCAGGGTCCTGGGATTGAGTCCCACATCGGGCTCCTTGCTCAGCAAGGAGCCTGCTTCTCCTTCTGCCTGCCTCTGTCTCTCTCTCTCTGATAAATAAATAAAATCTTAAAAATATATATATATTAAAAAATTTTGTAAAAAAAAAGAATTAAACTGTATGTCAGTACAGAGCACATAGTAGGCATGTAAGCTATATTAGCTCCCACATCTCCCACCACCTGCCCTTCTCATTCAAACATTACTGTGGGTACAAAGCAAGATTGGAGCACCCACTGAGAGCAGATGGGCATTTGCCTACTTGCCCACAGGGGAATGTGAACTTATGACATGTTTCCAGGAGACAGAAAGAAGGGTCACATGGAATCGAATAAGTGGAAATTCTGCCTGGTGACCTGCCATCATGGGAGTTTTCCCATCCTGGCTCATAAAGTAAGCCACAGTCTCCATGCTTGAGAATGGCTGAACAAGAGCTATTCTCCTGCATCCTTTTTTCTTTATAATTCTAAGAAATATCCAAATTCAATTCTTGAATATAAGTTGATGTTCTGAAGTGGGGAAGTTTACAGGAAGAACATGGTTAAATGGATTTTAGTTAGAGTATCTGGGTTCTTGACCCCTAGCTTTGCCACCAGTTAGCTGTCTGACCCTGGGGAGGTCTTGTCACCTGTTAAAAGTTCTCTTTCATATTCTGTAAAGTATTCAGCCATATCATTTCCAAGTTGCATTTGAATCCAAAGAGTGCAGCCCTCTGGTGTTATGTCATGAGGGATATTGGAGTGATCCCAGGAAGAATGTATAAAGTACCTATAACCCCAGTCCAACCTGCACACTGCAGCCCAGTGAGCGTCCTCATAAATAAATCTAATTGTGTCACTTCCCTCTTTAAGACTCTCTGCCGATCCCCTTTTGTCAAAGCCTTACTACTCGTCATGTGGTCCATGGACCGTTTGCTCTATATCACATAGGAACCTGCTAGAAAGGCAGAATCTGAGGCCCTCCTACATACCACTAAGTCAGAACCTGCATTTTCACTGTCCCTGGATGATTCTTTAGCACATTAAAGTCTGAGATGAACTGATCTAAAGTTAAAGCCCAACTTTCTGCATGGAGCACTGGGTGTTATATGCCAACAATGAATCATGGAACACTACATCAAAAACTAATGATGTAATGTATGGTGATTAACAAGACATAATAATAATTAAAAAAATAAAGTTAAAGCCCAGACTATCTGGGATACTTCTCCTGCTACATTTCTATTGCCCCATCACCTCATGTTCTTTATTCCCTTCGTGCCTTTACACATTCTGTTCCCTCTGCCTTTTTCTACCACCACGCACTCCTCTCTCTACTCCACATGAACACTTCTACTCATCCATCAGAGCCATCCTCTGGTGCTTCTTTCCCATTTCCTATAAAGAATTACAGAGTCCTTCCCCCTGCGCTCCCACAGTAGCCTGGGCACACCTTTTCACATTACATCAGAAGTACTTGCTAATGAAAATTACTCTAATAACTGTTTGTTACATGCCTGTCTCTCCCAACAGGCTTTGAGCTGCTTAACCTTATTCCAGAGATATTTATCGAGTACCAGGCAATACACAAGGACTGAGCATGTTTCTTATTTATATTTGTATCTTCAGCATCTAGCACAGTGAATGGTAAATTTTGTTATTTCATGAGGAAAAGAAGCTAACACTAATTGGCTAAACACTACGTGTCAGTCATTGTGCTGGCATTTTAATGTACATATTCCGAATTCATCTTCATAACAACTCTGAGAGAGAACTGCAACCTCTGTTTCTGCAGTTGATGAGACCACGATCCTAAAACATTAACCCACTGCACCTAGCCTTGGAGCCAGAGAGAAAGGTCCTTCTCTACCCATCTCAACTCTTGTCTTTCCACACACTAGAAGATGTTTGCTTTCCTTAGTTGTTTCAAAAAGTCACTTATTCCCTTGGGCAAGTACAGTCATTAAAATAGAAAGTCCATTTCATGGGCACCTAGGTGGCTCAGTCAAGTGTCTACCTTACCTTCAGCTCAGGTCAGAATCCCAGGATCCTGGGATCGAGTCCCGCATTGGGCTCCCTGCTCAGAGGGGAGCCTGCTTCTCCCTCTCCTTCTGCTGCTCCCCCTGCTTGTGTGCTCACTCTCTCTCTCTGACAAATAAAATCTTTAAAAAAGAAAGACTATCCAGATTGGCTAAAATGTCAAAAAAAAAAAAAAGTTTTCTCCCTCAAATGCCTTTGGCTTCACCATGGGAATCTTCACAACACCCTCTAGTAAAAACAGACTGGTTACCCCAGTCAGAAGGGTCTTGGACTGTTGGGAGTTGGAGTTTGGTATTGTCTTTTTAACTGGGTGGGGAGACTACATGACCCAGATTCCCAGAACAGAATGTTTTCTGGCAAGGCAGGGCAGTTATGGTCCCTGAATACTTCTCTGCCGAAGGAGTTTTAAAGTAGCCAAGTAGTTATTTTGCCAAAAGCGCACATAACTTTCATCTGATTTTGAATGCTGAGAGTTATATGTAAAAGGCAAAAAAAAAAGAGAACATCAGATTTTCTGACATGTGTGCCAGTTATGAAAAGACCTCCCTGGTGATTCTGTATTCTCAAATACAGTGAAAGTCTTTCATTTTGTGTCGTACACCAGGAGAGGAAATGAACAGCAATAGAGATTTTTCTCTGAAAAGCCACCTCAGAAAAATTGCTTTATCCTTCTGTCCTAGGAGAAGAGATACAGCCTACATGCTGTTTCAAACAGTATTCACTCAGGGCCTCAATTTGTGGCAAAAATAATTGGATAAACATTCTCTCCTCTTACATGGTTTGGAAGTGAACGAAATGTCCGAGGGTCTAGAGGATTAGCTAAGTTCTGTTCATTCATACAATGAAATGCTGTGTAGCCCATACAAGAACAGAATATCTGAAGAAGCGGGAAAATACTCAATTTGGCATGCTAAGTGAAAAAAATATCACAATGCTTTGTACAATATGACCATATCCATTTAAGAAAACGCTGCACTGACCTAGGAAAGGGCACGGGATGCTCTCCTAAGATCAGCAAGGCTGCCTCAGTGGGAGAAGCCATTCCCCTGGGCTTTAGTGTTGATGGGGCCATGCAGCTGGTCTGTAAAATTACTGCAAAAGGCAGTTTGCAAAAAAAAAAAAAAAAGAAAACACTACTGTGTGTTTGTGAGTAGAAAAATATCAAAACTATTAAGAGTGATAATCTCCAGGGAGATAATGAGTGGGTTTTTCCTTCTTTTTATATTGTGTGTACTTTCAAAAATAAATGACATAGCTTCTATGGTATGAAAAATTGGAAAAAAATCATAGACCTAAGGCAAAGAATCTGAACCCATGGGAATTGAAATTAAGATAGTGAATTGGAGGTAAGTAGGGGAGTGACTTCAGCAAGCATGGGATTTGGTTCTGAGTCACTCAGCCCTGAGATGACCAGTACTTGGATGTGTTCTTGAGGCTCACGAAGGAAGAGACATTCCAGTCCCACCTTTGAAAGAGAACTGGTTTGTGCCACCTCTTACTTCCATGAGCAATGAACCCCAGACAGCCATCCAGCAAGGAAGAGAATATTCTAGTCTTACCATTTGCATTATCTCTAGTGACTTCCGGATGCCTGATACAGTGCCTGCAGCAATCAACATAAACCCACATACCGCAGAGAGGTAGATTACGGTGGAGAAACAGGGAAGGGAGCAAAGTCCCCAGAGAGAATTATCATCCTGCTCCTACCTCGGCCCTGCTGTTGGGATACTTTTGTGACAACCAGGGTAACAGCTTTGGGTAATTTCCCTGGGCTCACTTGTGATTGTAGCCACTGAACAACAATGCCAAGGGCTGCAAACTTGCACCTCTAGTCGGACAGAGACCTGAAATCCCTGAGGTGGTCTGGGGGGCTTCTATGCCTCCAAAGGGGGCAGCCATGACCCTCCCCGCCATTCAGTACTGTACAGAAATGTAGGCCTGGCCTTGTTAGATCTTCTGGCTTTTCCGTCATCTTTTATAACAAGAAAACAAATTTTTATCACTGTGAAGGTCAAAACACATTTAGGAGCCATCTCTTTTCAACCTTTTTCTCTCTCTAAGAAGATTTGGTAGTTCCAAAAGACTATCTGTCCAAGGACGTTTTGGGGTAACTCTGCCACTGCCCAGAAATTCTACCATTAGCATCAGTCCTGTAGGCTAGGGGCATTTTATAAGAAGCAACAAACTGCTTTCTTGAAGGGATAGATAATGTATTACCCCTAACCCAAGGGAACTTGTAGCTGTCATCCAGCAAAGTCTAAAGGAGTAGGGGGTCAGTGTAGATGGAAGCATTACCCACTGAAGCCATAGAGTGAAGTGTGGAGTTCACTGAGGAAGGAGAAGAAACCGCGGATTTCATATACTGGCCTCGATCTGCCTAAGGGGGCAGCCAACTCCCTGGAAAGAGGAGGGCACCAGAATAGGGCCAGATAGACAGCAACTCAAGAACGTCGGAGGGAAGGAAGAGTGCAGGGTTTCATCCTGTTTATTCCAGACCCACCTCCTCCTCGAAGTCTCCTCTCCCAGCCTCCCTAATTGGAGTGATTCCCTCTTCTGAACCCCTGTACACTTTCTATCTCAGTCATAGCCCTCAACATACATTCCTTAATATTCTAGTTATTTGTATACTATGCCATCTCCTTTCCTCAGTTAATAATGTTTACATGTATCCTGCAGGTGTGGGGATAGGCTGCTCTGAAGGCAGAGATCATGGGTGTTTCCTCCTCATTGAGCTTCTGCACTATGCCAGGTGCAGACAAGGGATTGTCAGGTATAAAAGGCACAGTGTCTGCCTTCAGGAAGTCCTTGCTCTAGCCTGGAGGGTGGGCATAAACAATTTACAAAATGATCCTCGTGGTAATGGAGACGTGAACTTTGATGAGGGTGTGAGGTATGTGTGAGATATTTCTGGGTTTCATCATGAGGAATAGTAACAGCAGTAATGACTGAGTGTTTCATTGGAGCCAGGTAGAGTGCTGAGTACATGCAGTAGACTGGCGGTGTGGGTCCCTGCTGAGTTTAGAGTCCACTTTGGGTATATACATATACATCCCCTAACAATCAGTTTCTCTCCTTAAGTATTTCTGAAAATGGAAACAAGCTCTCTAGCTTCCCTTTCCAAATGATGAAGCATTAGATTAAACCAAAAGAACACACATCAGAAGGAGTACAGTACCTACCAGCCCTCACCATCCAGAGCTCTCCAAGCTCCTCCTCAATGAAAAAGCCAGGCCTACTCTAGGTGATCTTGAGTACGGGGCTGGGATCAGATTGGAGAGGTGTCAAGACTTCAGTGAAAGTGTCCAGGAGCCACTGTGTTTGAATCTGTGATTCCAACACAGGCTGTTGCCCACTAGATTTATTTCCTGTTTCCAATCTGTGATTTGGTAGTGTGATTGGGAGCTGTTTCCTGGTTACTTGCATTGGTAGATGGACATCATAGGTCAAAATCTGGGTTTTTATCCTGCAAACAAAACCACTGCTGATTGTACATCTAAAACTAATGATGTAATGTATGGGGATTAACATAACAATAAAAAATTTAAAAAAAAAAACACTGCTGATTGTCCTGCATCTCGTCGCTTATCCCAAGTGGTGAAGGGCTTGATGGAAGCAGCCAAGAGCAGGTTCCAAATGGTCAGGAATGTCTGAGGCTTAGACATTTCAAGTTGAGCAGGTCAAGCTGACCTAAATGAGGGTGTTGAGATAGATTGTCTAGGCGGATAACTTGCCCATCCGCCCTTTAGGTGAGAACAACCCAAGTTTGTTCCTGTTGTGCATTCAGGAATCCTCCCTGCTCAGCAAGACAGAGGCCAGGATTTGGCATTTGAGCAAGTGGGGCAGGGAGGGCAATGTTACAATACCATGAGCCATTAAAGAGGGAGGCTGCTCTGCATTTCTTACAGACTCTCCAGACGCTCTTCCACAGACCGTGCTTTGAGAGGCAGTGGGAGCAAAGTTCCTCTCCAGTGTTAATCTTTTTTGCTTTAAAACTAGCAAATACAGTTGAAGCTTTCATTTGCTGTCACAAATATTAAGTGCTAAAATTCTTAAATTAGTAAGATCCAACTTTCCTATCTTGTAAGCCTAAAAAATGATTGCTTCTCACCAAGTGGAAAATATTAAATTCTCATTTAACCATGGCCCCCGTCATCCTTCTTCCCCAAAAGAGCAAAAGATTACTAAGTAATTACTTTTTAAATATTACTTGTGGGGATGTTTAAAGGTAAAACCTTTGTGATAAATAACGGTGTGTTGCTCACATAAGTGAGGCATATATGAATAAGTAGAGAAATCACCAGGCTCAAAAAACAAGGAAAAAGCCGGCATTATTTAGAGCAAGTTAAGAATTTTACAAATTGGCTAGGTGGAGTTTTTTTTTTTTTTAATTCAACTTAGTTAACATGTAGTGTATTATTAGTTTCAGGGGTAGAATTTAGTGATTCATCAGTTACATACAACACCCAGTGCTCATTATATCAAGTGCCCTCCTTAATGCCCATCACCCAATTATCCCATCCCCACCCCCTTCCCTCCAGCAACCCTCAGTTTGTTCCCTATGGTTTGCCTCCATCTCTGTTTTTATCTTATTTTTCCTTCCCTTTCCCTATGTTCATCTGTTTCTGTTTCTTAAATTCTACATATGAGTGAAATCATATGGTATTTGTCTTTCTCTGACTTATTTTGCTTAGCACAATATGGCTGGGTGGACTTTTAATAATTATTAACAAAAGAGAGCAGTTTATAGATTTGAGGATTGGTTGAATAATAATCTAAAGACTAAATATGCTTTTTTCCCATTTTTTTCCTGTGTCCTTTAGAGAAATCAACTTTTCAGTCATTGGTCAGTATGTGGATTATCTTGTGGAAGAACAGGGAGTGAAGAACATTTTTGGTGAGTCATCTTTAAACATTTCTCTAAACATCTCTAGCCTGGTCCTTAGAAAGTAGCTCTCACCTGGTTACTAATTAAGAGGTTACAGTGTCCTGTGTCATAGGTTATGACTGAGCCTGGCTAAGCTAAGTAAAATTTGTGAATCTGGAGACTCATCAATTTTAGACTTGGAAAGCACCTTTGGTGGTGTACCTTCAAAACAGATAAGGTGTTATTTTTATCCCAACTTAAAGAAGAAAATCTGTGGCTCAGATATATTATTTAGGGTGCCTAAAGGCACTCAGCCAAGGAATGGTAGAGTAACAGCCAAATCCAGACTTCTCTCTCTTAAGAATGGGCTTTATTGTGTCTTCACCCAGACTTTTCATATAATAAATGTAGAAAGACTAAATGCAGCACACAAAAGAATCACAGGTCCAGCAGTTATCCTCATTTATTTCATGGACGGTGGAAATTAAAAAAGCAGACCTTGAACATTTTAGGCCTGAGAACTATACAAACCTGTGATTGAGTTGCTCCTTGTGTCGTGTTCTGAGTGCTTGAACACCTACAGACTGGACCCTACAGCTTTTTCCCAAGCTCCTGCTCTACCAGGGTCCCTCAAGAACTGGAAGCACGAGGTCATGATCCAGGCAGGTTAAAACCTCTGCAAACAGGTGGTCAGGACACATGTCAAAACCAGACCCTGATTACAGAACCACTTGGTGTCCCCCTACAGCTCCAAGCCATGGTGGGGGAAGACTGATTCTTACTCTTCAAAGGGCCACGGCTCTCCCCTGGGTATAGGGAAGAAGTAGGAACATCCCTACTAGTAGAGCATACTTGAAGTGTCTTAAGACCCTAAAGGAGTGATAAAAACACTCTTTCCTACTCTCACCCCCCCTTCTCCAGCTGAGCACTCAGTATTTGGAGATCCAAATGCATTAGGCCCCAGTAATGGATCCTAGTGCTGTTTGCATACTATCTGTGATCCATTAAGAGATTACTGTATTAGAAGGGAAAGTTTTAGAAACACAGCTTCGGATTCAAATTTATTTAGTGATTTAGAACCTCATCTTTGCCTCTGTAGATGAGAAGAACCATTTGTACTTTGCAGGGTTGTTGTGAAAATAAGTGACTATTGAAAGAGTGCTTCAATAAGAAATATTAATATCCTTGGTGTTTTCTTATGAATTACCATGAAAAAATTGTCCTAGAATGCTACCATCATGTTAAACTATAGACTGAGGTCTTTGTAGATCTGTAGGATGTGCCACTGTCCTCATGAGTAACTCCCACTTTTGACCCCTTTGACAGCCCAGTAGTGGGTGGTGTTGATTTTCCTGCCATTCAAGCCCAAATCATTGGATATTTGCCCAAAATGAGAACAGTTATCTCAGTCTGCTTTCAAATACTCTGCAAGGACAGATTTGTCATTACAAGTCATAATTAACCTTCCCACTGCTTTGAACAAGGTGAAGATGGAAAAAAGACAGAGTCTTAGATAAAAATGGAAACATGGCATTTCACCTCCAGATTCCATCGTCTGATCTTTCCCCACGTCCCTTCCCCTTAAGCAGGGAGTTCTGACCCTGCACTTCCTGCGTTGGTGTTGGAGGAGCGAAAGGAATTGGTTGGCCCCACTAACTGACTCTATTTGGAACAGTGAATGGCACGACGGGAGAAGGCCTGTCCCTGAGCGTCTCAGAGCGTCGCCAGGTCGCAGAGGAGTGGGTGGCCAAAGGGCGGAACAAGTGAGTGGCGTCACCAGGATAAAAGCGCTCTTCGAGAGAGCTGCATAGAGTATGGCTCTTTTCTGATGACACAGCCTCCCACCTTCTGGTCAGAGGGCAGGCCTGAGGCATGGGGATTCTGGCACTTTGGCAAGGAGCTGAGGCAGAGGAGAACCCCTCCCTTCTGGGTGGAAGGGCAGCCAGACTGCAAGGCCCACCTGGCTCCCAGAGGGTCCATCTGGAAGCTGGAAGCTGCCCCTTATCTATTTACAAAGACAGTCCCCTCGGGTTACTTGTCCTTGGGCTGAGGGGATAAGAGGGGGAGGGGCTGGTGACGGACTCTGCTGTCCCCTGGCTCTTGTAAACAACTCCAACCCCTTCCCCTCTCAGAATGGGTACCTGATGCTTCTATCAGCCCTTGCTTCCCTACCTCTCTGTGCATATGACTCAACATGCTCTCTGTGGTGCTGCTTTTTGTAGTCTTCGGGACTCAGTTCATGCCATGGTAGTCAAGTAAGACGGATCCATTCAGTAAGCACACTCAATTAACCAAGCTTTATTTGTTGTCTGTTCTGTTGTGTGGGATGCACTGTGCTGGCACCGGGGAGATGAAACAGGGTCTCTGCCTTCAGCTTGCTTGCCATCCAATGGAGATCATGAAATTTAACACTGATTCTTCTGATAAATAGTGTAAACAAGGATCAGAGAAGGCAATGATTGATGTTGCGTTAGGTGGAGGCGAAGATTGAAGGTAAGTCCCAAGTGAGCCTGGAGCAGTTGTCAGTGTGAAGCCCATGACCTCCTTGGGGATCCTCAAATGGCTTCAGAGCACCTTGAGGACTCTGAAACTGTATGCCAAGGCTGAGTGCATGTCCATGGAAGCAGTTTCTGCTGATCCATCAGCTTTCAGCTCATTTCCAGTCAGATTGTGAGCCCTAAAAGATTAAAGACCATGGACGGAGAAACAAGGAAGGTTAAGGATCAACATTAAAAAAAGCACCAGAGGGGTGCCTGGGTGGCTCAGTCGTTAAGCGTCTGCCTTCAGCTCAGGTCGTGATCCCAGGGTCCTGGGATCGAGCCCCGCATCGGGCTCCCTGCTCGGCAGGAAGCCTGCTTCTCCCTCTCCCTCTCCCCCTACTTGTGTTCCTTCTCTCACTATCGATCTCTGTCAAATAAATAAATAAAATCTTAAAGAAAGAAAGAAAAGCATCAGAAATGGGGAGATAGGGAAGAGGGCAAAGACAGAAAGCCCTCAGAAGGGCAGGAGGGAGGTCGGAGGTGAATCCTGCCACTTAAGGAGGAATGGTTCAGAGCATGCCACCGTAGCATGGGACTCTACAGCCAGACAGCCTGAGTTTGGGTCCTGGCTCTGTCTCTCGCTAGGCTTCTGAACTCAGACAAGTCACTTAACCGCCCTGTGCTTCACCTATGAAATTGGAATAAAAGTATGTATCTTATGGTGGTGGTGAGGATTCGAGCCGTGCCTGGCACGTAGTAGCAAGTCTTATAGGGGAATTCATTGTAATTATTTGCGGTGGATGCTGTGTTCGTCATCACATTTGTCATAAATGTTGGATGTTGTGAAAGTCAGTAGATGGAGGGCTGAGAAGACGGTTGGTTTGAAGTGACCGTGACCAATGACCTCAGAGAGAGCAGAGCCAGTCGGTTTGTTGAAACGGGAGCAGCCTGCCGTGAACTGTGGATCGTGGATCGCCGCAGATGTGCGGGGGTGGGGGCCGTGAGCACAGCTCGTTCTCGGAACATTTTCTGGTGAAGGGAAGGAGAGATGGAGTGGTAGGTTAGGGAGGAGGAAGCAAGATGAAAAGAAGGGTAGTTTTGTTTTTTGGTTTTTTTTAAGATGTTATTTATTTATTTGACACAGAGAGAGTGAGAGCACAAGCTGGGAGACAAAGGGAGAGGGAGGAGCAGGCTCTCCGCTGAGCAGGGAGCCCAATGGAGGGCTCGATCCCAGGACCCTGGGATCATGACCTGAGCCGAAGGCAGCCGCTTAACCGACTGAGCCACCCAGGTGCCCTCCTGGTTTGTTTTAAAGTGGGGAAGTCTTGGGCATGTTTCTCTGCTGAAAAGACACTGTTACAGGAGAAGAGAGTAGACAGCTGATACCTTTGATGGGAAGGTCTGGGGGATGGGGGGAGGGTTGAAACAAAACCAAAAGTAGATAGCGTAACTTGAGAGGACAGCCCAGAAGCTGGGAGGAAAGCATAGATGAGGATGCGGCTAAGCGTGGAGGTGCAGAAGAGGAGAAGTGGGGCAGTCTGTGTATGAAACCTCTGTATATTTCTGGTGTGTGGGAAGTGAGCACATCTGCCAGGAACAAGGAGTTGAGTTAGAATTAGCTTGAGAATAGTCCAGATTTGAAGTAGCCACTGCAGGGAATTGGAAGGGAAGTAAGTCATGATGAACAGAAGGCTTTTTGGAGCCTCGCTCTCCTGATCTGCGAAAGGACAAATTGGGATGAAAGCCATAGGATGGTTTTATCTAGCAGCACCTAGCAGCAGGGTGGAAGGGAGGAAGGCGTGGATGGCTTCTTTTAACCTAAGCCAGGAGAAGAGGTGTGAAAGATTTAAGGAGGTCGTGCAGAAAAGCTGCTGGTAAGAGTAGAGCCTATCAGTCAGGCTTCCTTTCTCCTTTCAAAGGTCTTAATCCTTTAAAAATGCAACCCCGGGGCACCTGCGTGGCTCAGTCGGTTAAGCATCTGCCTTCAGCTCAGGTTGGGCTCCCTGCTCAGTGGTGGGGGGGGGGGGGAGTCTGCTTCTCCCTCTCCCTCTGCTCCTCCCTACCCCTCTGTTCACTCTCTCTCTCTCTCAAATAAATAAATAAAATCTTTAAAAATGCAACCCTGATCACATCACTTCCTTAGTGAGGCCCCATTTCACCTGAGACACGGCAAGTCAGGAGTCACTGGGGACTCACTGATGGGGCCTAAGCAAGAATATGGTGTCTCCACCCCTTGAAGATGGCATGTGCATGTTATTCAGGGTCCCTCAGGAGTCGCTGGGGTGACTGGACTCACAACTGAGTTTTATTAATCCTCTGAGAACACCAGGCTCACTGTGGCCTCTGCCCATGGGGCCACATGGAGCACCCCCAAAGATTGGGGTCTCAGAGGAAACCTCTCATAAGAGGCCAAATTCTGAAGACTGACAAGATAGGAAAAAGCTTTTTACAGTGAATTCATTTCTCATATGGCTTGTTCCTGGCTGTACTCTTTGAAGATCCTCTTTGTTTTTATCTCCAACCAGAAATACCTCCATGTTACACCAATCTCCACACAAATACCACCATCAATACACCATCTAAAACAGTGCTTCGTGGGCGCCTGGGTGGCTCAGTTGGTTAAGCGACTGCCTTCGGCTCAGTTCATGATCCTGGAGTCCCGGGATCGGGTCCCACATCGGGCTCCCTGCTCGACGGGGAGTCTGCTTCTCCCTCTGACCCTCCCCCCTCTCATGCTCTCTCTCTCTATCTCATTCTCTCTCTCAAATAAATAAATAAAATCTTAAAAAAAAAAAAAGACTCTCTCCCTCTACCTCTCTCCCACTCTCCCCCTAAAATAAATAAAGAAATCTTTAAAAAAAAAAAAAAAAAGTAAAACAGTGCTTCGTCAAAGTACGTATTCAAATACTGATTGACTCTTGGCTTCAAAATTTTGCTTGGTTAGACCTTAAATTTTACTCCCTGGACATTTTTTTTAATCCCCTATTAGATTCATTTTAAATAGACCACTATAGAATTTAATAGTTTTGAGGTTGAGATTAGCAGGACATTAATTAACTGCCAAAACCAGTACAAACCAGAGTAGTTCAGCCCTTCCTTCCATGTTACTGTAAACTTCCAAGTGATGCAACAGCCTTTTCTCTTTTGCAGGTTGGATCAGGTGGTAATTCATGTAGGAGCCCTGAGCTTGAAAGATTCACAAGAACTGGTAGGTATGTAGGTCCATCTGGGAGAGACCACTCAAGGGGCCTCCTTTTCCTTTTATTATTAGAGCATGGATGATGGTATACAATGTTATATTCATTTTAGTTGTACGACATGGTGAATCGATAATTCTGTGCATTACTCAGTGCCCACCAGGATAAGTGTAATCTCCATCTGTCACCATACAATGTTATTACAATATTATTGACTACATTCTCTATGCTATACCTTTCATCTCTGTGACTTGTTTATTTTATAACTAAAAGTTTGTACCTCTTAATCCCCTTCACCTATTTTGCCCTCCCTCCACTGGCAACTACCAGTTTGTTCTCTGAGTCTGTTTCTGGTTTTTTGTTTATTTGTTCATTTGTTTTGGTTTTTTTTTAGATTCCACATAAGGGAAGGGGCTCCTTTTTTATGCTGAAGTTAAACTCAATACCATTTTTGCTATATATTGGGTGCTATCACTGGGGAATATGAGGTGTGGGACCTCAGAGTTCACCATCCAGAAGCAGGCACAGAGCCATAATGAGAGTAGCCCGAGGTGATAACTTCTGTAGCAGAGTTTTGAGTAGGAGACAGAGGCCCGTCTTCCTCCGAGGGGTGGGTATAGAGGTAGCTCAGTTTGCAAGTAGGGAGAAGAACTTGAGCCAACCTCAGTTTTTCTAAGAAGCAAAAGGCAAAGCCATCTGCTGGGCATGAAGGAGATGGAAGATGGGGTTCAGAGATGAAGAGCAGTAAAAATTGAGAATCACTGCCCAGGAAAATGGGAGGGAAAACTGAAGCACAGGAAGATTGTCCCCACCCATGTTCTTATCAGCATTATTTACAATAGAAAGAGGTGAAAGCAACCCAAATGCCCATCAGTGGATAAATAGATAAACAAAATATGGTATATACGTACTATTAAAGGACAAAAATACAAATGAGTAATTTAAAAGATCAAATTGGCTTTATTGAATGAATCCAGCAGCATCCAATCTAGCAAATAGAAAGGAGCTCTATCGAGCTGTGGAAAAGGAAAGGTAAAAGACAGAGAGGGAGCAAGAAAAAGGAAATTATTAGCAAAGAACACATTGTTTTAAGCAAGGTCGCCCTCCTAAGGGCAATGGTATGGGCCTGACAATAAATTTCCTAGGGCTGACCAGGAAATTCCACGTTGACAGTTTAAAGGTTACATTCCTGGGAGGATTGAAACTGAAGTCAGGTTAGGTATTAAGTCTTGGTTTGCTGACATGGATCCTTAATATAAGTACTCCATTTGGGTCCTGTGGTTTTCTTTTTAACAATACAATGGAATATTATTCAGCCTTAAAAAGGAAAGGAATCCATCCTGTCACCTGCTATAATATAGGTGAAACTCTTTGAGGACATTATATTAAATAAAATAAGCCAGTCACTAAAAGACAAATACTATATGATTCCTCTGAAATGAGGTATCTAAAGTAGTCAAATTCGTAAAAACAGGAAGTAGAATGGTAGTTGCCACGGGCTAGAGGCAGAGAGGAAGAATTATTTAATGGGTATAGAGTTCCAGATTTGCAAGATGAAAAGTTCTAGAGATCTGTTTTATAACAATGTGAATATACTTAAAACTACTGAACTGTACACTTAAAAATGATTAAGGTGGTAAATTTTATGTGGTTTCGTCACAATTTAAAAAAATTTTTTTCAAAGTAAGCTCTACGCCCAACATGGGTTTTGAACTCATGGCCCTGACATCAAGAGTCACATGCTCTACCGAGCCAGCCAGCCACCCCTAATTAGTTAATTTTTTAAAAAGGATTGCCCAATGGTGCTAAAAAACCAAATGAAGTTGTAAGTCATAAATCTGTCTTACCACCATTCAACTAAGTTATGAAAATTTCTTTCTAGGTATAGTCTTCAACCAGGACATAGGTTCAAGAACACGAACAATTGGATTGCTCCAGGTTTAGAGATTAGCAGATTAGGTAGAGCAAAGGCCAGGAATGGAAGGAGTTAAAGTTTCTGGCAGAAAAGTACATGACCTGGTGGTTTTGAGGACTTTGTGAATTGGGTAAAAAAAGAAAGCTCGAAAGTGTTGAGGTATTTACCAGCAGGCCCAGAACCTGGACCACTACTAAATTAACCATGTTTTCAGAATTTATATATTCTGATTTCCAAGATTACAATGACTTGATCTAGCCCCAACATCTTCTTGATGGGTTTTGTTTTTCCTATTACTGAATTTAGAAATGGGATATATATATATTTGCAGAATTGCAATTCAGTACTCTTAGGTAAGCCACAAGGGAAGGCATATTGCTAAGTGGTTGCTTAATAAGCCTAGAATCAGAACGTGGAGACTTGATTTATTCTTCTTATGCGTCATTTGTTCTTCTTTCAGTAGGCCTTTCAATTAAGGTAGTATGATGTAGGAAATTTGTTTTCATCTCTTTTTTTTTTTAAAAGATTTTATTTATTTATTTGACACAGAGAGAGCGAGAGCAGGAACACAAGCAGGGGGAGTGGGAGAGGGAGAAGCAGGCCTCCCGCTGAGCAGGGAGCCCGATGTGGGGCTCGATCCCAGGACCCTGGGATCATGACCTGAGCCGAAGGCAGATGCTCAATGACTGAGCCACCCAGGCGCCCCTGTTTTCATCTCTTTTTAATTGCTTTCTTTTCCTATGTGTGATATAAATTTTAAAATATCGTCATGACGTGGAAGGTTGTCATCCATTGAGCTGAACACTAGAATAGTGTAGAGATAATCTTAGGACAGAGATAATCCCCTTCTATAGGGATAATCCCCTACTGTGGGGATAATCTTGCCAATGAGACTATAATTTGGCATCTGCTTAGCCATAACTCCATTGGATGATGTTTGGGCACTGCCATCAACTGTCTCTTAGCTGTTTCCTTTTTTCTTATTTTCAGCTAAGGTTATCCTTCTACTCTTGTCCTAATGGAGTGCTAAACAAATGATTCAAATATATTATATGCAACTGGTGGCCAGTGATTTAATCAACCATGCCTATGTAGTGAGGCCTCCATTAAAACCCAAAAGGGCAGGTTTCAGAGAGCTCCCAGGTTGGTGAACATGTGGAGATTTGGGGAGAGTGGAACACATGGAAACTACAAGCCCTATCTCCATACCTTGCCTTAGGCATCTCTTCCATCTGGCTGTTCCTGAGTTAATATCTTCTTATACTAAACTGGTGGCCTAGTAAGTAAGATGTTCCTCCGAGTTCTGTGAGCCAGTCTAGCAAATTAAGTGACCCAAGGAGGGGATTATGAGAACCTCCAACTCTGTAGCCAGTCGGTCAGGAACACAGGTGATGACCTAGGCTTGTGACTAGCATCTAAAGTTCAGGGAAGCGGGGTAGTCTTGTCGGATGGAGCCCTGAACCTGTGCAATCTGACTGTCTCCAGGTAGATAGTATCAGAGTTGAATAGAATTGCAGGACATGCAGCTGGTATCAGAGAATTGCCTGTTGATGTGGGGAAACCACCCCCCAACCCACAGACATCTAAATTGTCACCAAACCCAATGGTCTTCTTTCTTCTTTTAAAGGCCCGACATGCAGCAGAAATAGGAGCTGATGGCATCGCCGTCATTGCACCTTTCTTTCTCAAGCCAAGGAACAAAGGTAAGCAAATAGTCTAAATACACAATGCCTCGTGTGGTCCACTTCTTTTTGCCTTCATTCAAAATGGTCATGCTGACCTCCTGAAAGTAAAGTTGTATGGACTTCTGTGGGAGTGAAGTTGCAGTGGTACAGTAGCTGTCCAGAATATTTGGTCTCCCTGGATCCATACAAGAAAAGACTCCTTTAAGAAGTCAACTCTTTTGCCAAGTAATCTGATTGGGTCATCCACCAAGCCCCAGGTCAACGTACAGGTACCTGTGTTGGGTCAGGCTTCCACCCCTAATCTAGTCAGTTGTGTAGGGAGTCAGAGTTACATGGCAAAGCATGGGATCATTTTTCTCAAAAAAGGAATATAAGTGGTGGGCATCTTGAGACATGTTCTATTCAAGGTTGAGTCAGTAATGAATTTGAGGGAGATTTCAGAGAAAGATCCATGGTCTTCCAAATTACCAAGTTAATTGCTTTCTCCTTCTCTGCTTTCTCTACGGAAACTTTTGTGGTTTCCAAGTATACTGAGTCTTTTTAATCCTTCTGATTAGCAAACGAAGGAATACAGATTTTGAAAGGATTGAAAACAGACAATCCATGATTGCATGCATGATTAAATAAATTCATAGCTAAATGTAATTGGGTCAAAATTATCATGAAATACCATCAATTATTGGTAGAGAGAAAATAATTGTCAATATAGGATAAGTAATTTAAATACTGCCATCTTGGGAATTGAGAATGAACATTTTAAAAGTTTTGTCACATGGTTATAAAAATTTTACGTGAATACGTTTCCCAAAAAGACAGACAAAGGAAAGATAATGAGTTATTCATAATATTTTTGTCAAATATTTATCACAGAGTACATCATCACAGTATTCAGATGAAGTATTTTCTCCCCCACTCTCCAGTGTAAGCAAGTCTGCTGGATTTATTTATCCTCTGCAGTAATGTCGCAGTGAAAGCTCACGGAGGATGATGTAGGAAATTGCAAATCCTCAGTAAACTAGAATGAATTCTCTTCTGCTATATCTGGATTTCTCCCCAAATGGGAAAAGTGCCAACCTCTGGTTGAATTATTGTGAGGTGTGCCACTATTCTTCTAACTTCCCTCTTTGAGCAAATGTTTATCTTTTTGTTGTAGAATTTTCTCAGTTACAACTTGATGATTCTGATCCTAATGCAAATTCCTTGTTCACTGACCACATTTAGCCCTTTTGGGGTAAGAGCACAGGAGTCCAACCAACGGGCTTCTGGCTTTGATAAGAGTATTTCAAGAGCTTCTCTTAATATGTGGGAAGGTTTGCACCAGTTTTTTTTTTTTTTTAAAGATTGTATTTATTTATTTGAAAGAGAGAGAATGAGAGAGAGCACATGAGAGGGGGGAGGGTCAGAGGGAGAAGCAGACTCCCCGCTGAGCAGGGAGCCCGATGCGGGACTCGATCCCGGGACTCCAGGATCATGACCTGAGCCGAAGACAGTTGCTTAACCAACTGAGCCACCCAAGCGCCCTGCACCAGTTTTATAATAGTATTTAAGGACAGCAGGAAAGTGATCATCTTATTTTGGCCTTTCTACAGAAAGGAAAATAAACCTTTGAATGAAGTGTTGCAAAGACATTGCAGTATCGATCTCAGGGATGACTGAGAGGGATCAAGAATTTTCAGCTTCTGAGAGGGATGGTTGCATTTCAATAGATGGTTAGGTTTTTTTTACCAGGGAAAGCCAGTGTTTTATACTTGTTCACACCATGGCTTGTCCTGCTATTCTTTCAGATATCTTGATTAATTTCCTAAAGGAGGTAGCTACTGCCGCCCCAGCATTGCCATTTTATTATTATCACATTCCGGCCTTGACAGGGTTAAAGAGTAAGTACTGCTTCTTTCCATGTTTCTTTCCCTCCATCTCTCACATCTTACCCTGTTTCGCTAAGAAACTCCCACTCCATCGCACTCCACCCTGTGTCACAAAAGCATAAAACTATTCACCGGATGGTTCGGATTGGCTCCAAAATAAGTCAGTCTTATCAAAAATAAGTCCCTCTTATCAATCATTGACACTACCTTATAATGAACGTTTTTAAGTGTGAAAGATGCTTTTCTAGCAGACACCTTGTGTCTTGTATGAGAAGACACAAGCCTATAAGCCCCGTAAGGACGAAGGCTGTGTCTACCTTGTCCTCTACTGTATTCTCAGTGCCTGGTACATAGGAAGGTACTCTGATCCCTCCTCACTTTTCTTTTGGCTTTCTTTCTTTCTTTCTTTTTTTTTTTTTTAAGATTTTTAAAATTTATGGGATCATGACCTGAGCCAAGGCAGACGCTTAACTGACTGAGCCACCCAGGTGTCCCTTCTTTTGACTTTTCTTTTATTGTTACTATGCTTCTCCAGAAAGGAGATTGTTAAAATTAGATGAGATTTCTTAGGAGATTATTTTTTAGATACGATTCCTTTCTACTTCCTTAAAAGAAAAAAAAAAATAGAAGTTGTGCTTTGGAAAAGTTCATCTGTTGTCTTCGAGGAATGGAAGCGTGGGGGCTGAAATTTGATGAGTACATAGGAACTCCTAAGTGAGGGCAAGGGACGTCCAGCTGAGAACAGCCCCTGGCACTCAGCGCAGATGTGAGGGGCTCTACAAGACGGGATTTGACATTTTCTGGAGGGGTGCAGATTCGTGAGGCATTTTCTGTTTTGAGCAGTTCGTGCTGAGGAATTGTTGGACGGGATTCAGGATAAGATCCCCACCTTCCAAGGGCTGAAGTTCAGTGACACCGATCTCTTAGACTTCGGGCAATGTGTTGATCAGAATCGCCAGCAACAGTTTGCTTTCCTTTTTGGGGTGGATGAGGTAAGTCACCCACTGGCCTGTCCCAGCAGGTTCGTTGCCCTCCAGAACAATTTGTAAAGCTATTTAGATAGCAACATTTTTTTTCTCTTACTCTTTTTCCTAAAAGTGAATACCCTGTGTCTGTTTTTGCTTAGCAACTATTGAGTGCCCTGGTGATGGGAGCGACTGGAGCAGTGGGTAGGTAAGCCTGACTCGTTTTTCCACACGGTTATAAATGTAAAGTCCCCCCATGGAGGCATTCACTGCCTATGTGGTTATACTTCTTGCATGGATGCCTTTTCTAATGAAAGCTGCCTTTCTTTCCCCCAGTCTTTCAGCAAAAAGGAATTAAGTAGAGCTTAGCAGTTTGTTAGCAACTCAGTCACTGTTTTTAGAAGCATCTGTTGCAATTAGAGGTGAGGCACATGAGCTAAGAGCATGCACAGAATTTGTCAGAAATTACTTAGTTATTAATAAGAGGAACCCACTGAAAGTAGCTAATGCGGAAGAAGACACATTATTATAAACTACTGGGAGATTGGGTAAAACTCAAGAGGAGGAAATGCAGCCAGGCCTCAGAGAAGATGAGAACCCAGGCCTGCAAAATGCTCAATAGCCAGGACAGATCGTTCTCCATCTGTGGTCCTCTGGAGACTCTCACCCCTGCGTCTCTCTGCATACCTCTCTCTTTCCCTCTCTTGCTCTCCAGGTGCGCTCTCTATGCTTCAGCATGCACATGGCCAATTGTGGCTGCCCGGTTGTGAATCTCATCTCAGGATATCACTAGATAGCACTGCCTGTTGGGCTTACCTAAGTCCAATCAGCTGCAGCCAGCTAAATAGACATACATGGCCTGATGCCTACTCAGGCAGAGGCAGGCAATTCGATTAGCATGTCCACTGCACATGTTTACCTAATTCATTAGAAATATGCCTGCAAGGGATTGAGTGAAATATTCGTGTTAACTGAAAGTGCATTACCTCCATATAGGAAAAGTGTAGGAGAAGCAAAGTAGTGTTGATAACATGTCTTGGTGAGCATGGCTTTGATGAAGAATAAGTAAGTTGGATGATCTCAATGGCTTATTCACCAAGCCAGGATGGTGACGTCCTGCAACATCCATTGTCACTACAGGGACATTTCTACCATGGGAACCTGAATGCCTGGGATCTGCTGACCATGAAATTCTTACTTTCTTTTCCCCCAGAAATTCTTACTTTTTTGACTTTTGTTTTTTGGCCTCCATACTAGGCATTTTAATTTTGTCAACATAATCTATAAGCAAAGTACATTTCGTTAGACTTTATTTCTTCTTAATTATAATTACATTTCTCTCTAACTAAACATGCCTAAGACCCCTAGAATTTGAATTTTAGTATTCTGAAACTCCTCCGGCATATTGTGATTTAGGGGTGTTTCACATCCATAAGGGACTTATCTCAGCTATTGTATTATATTTTTTCCTTACTTTTTTACCAGAAGATAATGTGAACTTCACGTTCTTGGAATCCCTTGCTGTTCAGTCCAGGGTCTCCATGTGAAGGACCAACAACATTCTGTTCTTGGTACATCAAGATAAATATATTTTTCTGAGACTGACTTACTATATGAGAAGTTGCTAGAAACTGCGGAAACATCCTTGTTAAGAATTTCTGTAAACTTCTACCTTGCTGATTTCTCTAAGAATTCAGTGATTAGTCTGAGGTATTTGTCTTTACTGGTAGAGTTGGATATTATATTTTTTTTCAAGATTTTATTTATTTATTTGGCAGAGAGACAGCGAGAGAGGGAACACAAGCAGGGGGAGTGGGAGAGGGAGAAGCAGGCCTCCCGCGGAGCAGGGAGCCCGATGCGGGGCTCGATCCCGGGACCCTGGGACCATGACCTGAGCTGGAGGCAGGCGCCTAGCGACTGAGCCACTCAGGTGCCCCTGGATATTATTTTTTTAAGTCCACATTTTATCAGATCAAATAACTTATTTTCACTTTCATTTGTGCTGAATTGTAGTAGATAGCAGCATGAAGGGATGAAAGCCTTTGCCCCAATTGTGTGGCCTTCTTTAAGTCATAGTTTCTTCACAACCAAACAGAAGCCAGGGATTTGAGGGGATTAGACATGATTTATGTCAAGCACCTGGAACACAAGAGACAATAAATGATCTCTCATTTTATTATCATCTTTATTATTATTATTATTAGAAAGTAATCTCTAGGTAATATATAAATTGTATAAGCATATATATTACAGGTAATATATAAACTGGCAGAGAACTCAGATAATCTGCTGGGATTTACCCCATTCACCTAGTTCCTCGGCATAAGGCTTTAGGCCTCACCTCAGATACTACGTTTTACCCACAGTTCGAATCTAGCTTCGTGCCTGTGCACGTGCCCTGGGGCAGGTGTTGGCCTCTGTTATTCCCTACCAAATACACCTCCATCTCTAACTTTTCCCCCTTTTTTCTAACTTTATCCTTTTCCGACTTTTCTTCCTTTCCTTTATCCCCTTTGGTATTCTGTGCCTCCTCTTGGCACTGCTTATTGTCGCTGGATAACTCAGAAGTGAAGACACCTGATCTCTAATAGATTAGGGCCAAAAAACAGACTTCTGGGAGGCCTGGTCTATTTTTCCCTTTTAGGCATCAAAGGGATTTGAAGATCTAGACTTCTCCCGCTGAGTTACTGATACTGCAGTGTGTGCTGTTTTCTTTCCAGTACCTATAACTACATGGGAAAAAAGACAAACCAGATGTTGGAGGCTTTCGAACGAAAGGACTTCTCTTCAGCCCTGAACCATCAGGTTAACTTTTCTTTCCCACTGGATAATTCTTATTCTCTCTCATCAGCACTCCTAGCACACCTGCCCTCGTTAAAATTGCCTTGCTGCTTCTTTCTTTACTTTTCTCCTGCTTCTTACCTGTTCTTGTTTAGAGCCAAACCTGTCCCCATTGTCTATGTTCCCTACATGTCTAATCAGGACAGGCCCCATACGGGAATGACTTCTCTCTCTGTTCCTCCTAGAAAGGATCATATTTTTACTCTGTGTTCAAAGTATGTTTGTGACTATAAAATAATAGTGATAGATTTCTGGGGAAATGACCCATGCCATCCCCTTGAGGACTTCACACCCAAGTCTCCAGAGTATATGAAGAAGCTGTGAAGCTGGTAACCCAAAATGGGGAGACTTAATCCAAAGTCAGAGCAGGTCAGTCATCTTCACCTGCCATGTGCTGAGAATTGGAAGCATCTACCAGGCAGAAACAAGAGCCGAGTGAGTGATCTAAAAGGAGACACTGGCTTGGAGAGAGGAAGAGAAAAGCCGCAGGAGCTGATGTGTTACAGGGAAGACCCCAGGGGAAATGGCGGCTGCCATTAATGTTACACCGAGGGCAGGCTAGCTGTCCAGAGAATGGAGAGCCTCATGAAGGGCAGAACCAATCTCGCAGCTGGGTAATATGTGTGCTTGAGGTAAGTGGAATGAGGTGGAAAGAAACAGCATAGGCACAAGAGAAGGACTTTTCAGAGGCCAAGAGGCCCAGGGATTTTCAAGATAGTAAAAGTAGCTAAGTGGAGTATCCCAGGGAAATAAGTGGGAGTGAAAGGCATAAGCGAGATTGGAGCAGGTTCTGAAAATTCCAGCCTGTTCTGAGTTGTATGACAGGAAAACCATAGGACCGAATAGATAGTAAAACGGCCCTGAGAGGAGCCCTTCAATTCAGCAGCTTCTTTTATTGACTGGTCCCATTTCCATCTCTTTTCCTCCCATTAGTCCCACACAAATAAGTCATCCCTCTCAAAATGGTATTGGTGAGGAATGTAGTTTACCACATTCTCTGGCTTTTCTTACAGAAGGCTAGTGTGAGTGGGTCTCATTGACTCCTTTATTCATATGCCAAGGGCTGAGCCAAGTGCGTAACTTCAGTCAAGCTGGTCTCTGCTGTAAAGGAATTTGCAGTCAGGTGAAGAAGCAGACCAGCAAAAAGTCAGGGCAGAATTTATTCATTCTCATGGACTCAAACGCCATCTGTTATATTTACATAAGTGAAATGACAAGCATACAGAGATGTTCCAGACTACATTGTTTATAAGAGCAAAAGACAGAAACAACCCAACTATCCATCCATAAGGAAATGGTTAAAAAACATTATGTTTGAGTTATGCAATGGAGTTATATGCAGCCCTTAAAAGGATGAGATCATTTTCTGTGTACAGATCTGGAAAGACTCCATGACCTATTAAGTGTGCAAAAGCAGTGGAGGACAGAGTTGTGAATGTAATATACTAGTTTGTGTGAGAGGGGAAAAAAGAATGTATACATATATGTTTTTAAGGCTCTGGGTGTTAAAATTTCATTCTGTACTGAATTTTTTGTTACTAGACTGTATGTAATTGGTTAAAACAACATAAAATGTCATCGAAAATGCATCTCTTAATGAAATGGATGGGAGTCTGCCTTTATGAATTAGTTCACGAATTCATGGATGAATATTACTTAATGCTAGGATGAGTTACATTTCAGCAGCGATACTATTTCTGTTTTTTGTTTTTAGAGAAATAAATGCTATGAAACCCTGTTCATATAAATTAGTAGTAAGAATAGAAGAAATTTTGTTATAGCAATGTCACTCAATTCTTTGAACAGTTTTTTGAGTTGTGTTAAAAATCACAGAATGCGTTAGTGACTTTCAGCTGACAGGCTGAGTAGCAACATTGAAAGCGATGTTGAAAGCAAAAAGTTGAAAGCCCTATGATTTTTTAGAGGACATGTTACCCATTAATTAGAGGAATCGCTTTGTCACTCTGTCGATGCCAATACCAATATTTTGATCTGCTCCTTTATTTGGTTCCCAGAGGTGTCCCAAGGCAGTGATACAGGAGATATGTCTTTATTTTTTTCAAAAGTGGGAAAAGAAGCACTTATGAGGAGGAAATCTAAAAGAACAATCTGCACCTCCATGCAAATTCTTAGTCTCATCAGTTTTAGAAAAATAGCACTTATGGAAGTTAAGGATCTAGAAATTATTTATTCCCATAAATCTTAGCCTTGCTAAGTGCCCCTTAGAGAGTACCTCAGAAGTTAGCATACCCCAGTTTGAAAACAACCTCTCTAGCTGATAAGTTTAGTTGGGTAAGGGTTGGCTAGATGGATGAAGGGTGCCTACCCCTTTCTTTACTGTACAATTCTATCTTTGGCACCTCTTTTCTCATGGCCCCTTTTTATAAAGCTCACATGTATAAAAAGATCCTACCTTATCCTGGATGGATCTCAACCATCCTCACTTAGCTGTTTTTCTCCACTCTGACAGGCCTTCAGAAAACTAAGGTGTTGGGCTTTTTTGTTTGGGGTTTCTGTCCTTTGACCTCCAAAATTTCTAAATTGTTATCACAGCTTATGTAATACTGACTGTAGATTTGTTTTTTCCTTTCCAGTTTTGTATTCAGAGATTTATCAACTTTGTGCTCAAACTCGGTAAGTTTTCTACTTTGTCTGCTGTGAGTTTGAAGGAAATGGTACACTGTCACTTTCCGTGAGGGTTCAACAAGGACACCTTTCAATGTTCTGTTGCAAGCAGAGTTTTATTTCCAATACTAGCCTCAGGGCCAACCCTATAAAGTGGTGAAGTAAATCTAGTTGGCACCCTTCTACAATTCTTGTTCCTCAATCTTAGCACTTTGCTTGCCTTCCCACTCTGCACACCATCATTTGATCCTTCTCAGCACTCACTCCCTGTACTTGCCTCTGCTCATTAAAATTCTACCACACCGTGGCTGATTTCAGCCTGAGTGCTTGGAGGAAGGCAGTCTGAATATAGATCTTACTAAATTGTGAATGACTGACAGCTCTCCCAAGAGTATTTGCACTGTAAAAAGAGTTTATTAACATAAGTGAGCTCAAATGGATGGAGGTTTGGATAATATGACAAAGAAAATTTGAGGGAAATATAGTGAATTTGCATAGAGAAGCCTTCTCAGAGTCTCTTAAATATTATCCCATCACAAATGACAAAAGCCACCATTCACCCCACTTCTGAGGAGATTGGTGCTTCATGAGAACCTGGGTCAAGTCCAGGAAAAGCTTTAAGTTTATTCTTGGCAGACCTCCCACCTCCCTTTCAGAGCCGTTCTACCTTATCATGGCAACTCCTCCCGAGCCCCAAGCACCCATTATGTGGTATGGCCCGCATTCTTGCAGGGTCGTCTGCGAGCTCTCTTAATTCTTTAAAGACAGTGTTTCCCATCTGCTTTTCACTTTCACAATTTCTGTCATATTTATGTGCCACAAGTATCATTAATTACCTATTATTACTCCCTTGTCCTAAACAATACTTTTCACAAAATTGGGGGTTTGGTGTGATAGTTTTTTATGTTCCTAAGGTGAATTAAATAAATATTGAACTATTAAAATTAGAACTAAAAGTGTACCCGTGTATATATAAGATCATTCTGTATACCAGCAGTGAGACTGCAACATTTTTGCCAAATATAGCTCTAAGATATTAGCTGAAAGAATTTACTCTCTTGCCAGAATATTTGCATTTTAAAAGTGGACTCGGGGCACCAGGGTGGCTCAGTTGGTTAAGCGTCCAACTCCATTTCAGCTTAGGTCATGATCTCAGTGTCATGAGATCGAGCCTTGCGTTGGGCTCCATGCTGGGCCTGGAGTCTACTTAAGATTCTCTCTCTCTCTGCCCTCCCCCCCATAGATAGATAGCTACATACATACATACATACATACATACATACATACATACATAATATAAAGTGGACTCTTGTAGATAATTTTTATGATTTAAAAGAATATATCTTTAAAGAAATCATTTCAGACTTCTTTGGCAGGTTGGAGCTTTCATGGTTTAGGCAAGGAGAGACTTATCTTAATAAACTTGTAGTCTTGGGGCTCCTGGGTGGCTCAGTTGGTTAAGCGACTGCCTTCAGCTCAGGTCACGATCCTGGAGTCCCGGGATCGAGTCCCGCATCGGGCTCCCTGCTCAACGGGGAGTCTGCTTCTCCCTCTGACCCTCCTCCCTCTCATGCTCTCTGTCTTTCATTCTCTCTCTCTCAAATAAATAAATAAAATCTTTTAAAAAAAAATTTTTTTTTAAATAAACTTGTAGTCTTATTATGAGGGTAGCTCCCTATTCTGCCATTTGTAATAAGCCTGGAAGGGCCATTTTGCATTCATCAAACTATACTCTGTATCTTTGGTCATGCTAGTATTTTCCTTCCAGATACTTAGTTGTTACTATTAGCTTAGCAAAAGAAAGTTACTTCTCATATCTTGGATCCAAAAACCATAGCCAGTTAAAACAAATACCTTTCTCTTTCTGCTGTATTGTTTCCTTAGATCTACCTTCAACATCCCTAATTCTATCCTCAGCTCTGTTTTCTACTATTTCATTTCATTGAATATATATTTTTTTTCATTTCTAGTATTTGTTTTTCCAGATTTTCCTGTACTTTATTTATATGCCCTTCTCTTAGCCTATGGCTTCTATTCCTCCTTTATCTCTGTGAGGTCTCTTTCAGAATTGTGTATCATCTGTTCTCAGGATGTGGGATTTGTCAGTTGTGCATTTGCAAGCTCTTGTGCAGCTTCTTTTTCTCATGTGTTTTGTAATTTTTAACTTTGAATTTGTCTTCAGAGACTGTTGTTTTCTGGAGAATCCATTGTGCTCTAGGTTATAAGGTGTCCTAACAAGTGGTTTTACATTTGCCTCTGTTGGACGCTATAGTTTCACCAATTCTAACGAGTTTTTAGGTTAATTTCTTAGTCCAATTTTTACAACAAGTGCCTAACGCAAATATGGATCCAGATTCATAGATGGCATAGGCTTGGGGTTTCTTTCGTAAGATCTTTTTCCATCCACAGCCTGGAAGAAGTCAAGCTTCCATGCCTCTCTATCCCCAGGCCAGCAGGCCAGGTTTTCTTCTATTGCCTTTCATAGAAGGCTGACTACCAGTTTTATATAGGGCATTTAATTTCAGCCCCCTGCTCTGCACAGACCCAAGGCTTCATCTTGCATTCCTGCCCCAGCTTTAGAACATGAGCTCTAAAAGAGCAGCATCTTAAGGAGTGCATTTCTCAGGGACTTCTTAGATGTGATTGAACTAAATTCTGTCTTAGTGATGAAGTCCTGCGTCATTTGATCCACAGTCATATATCCCTGAATCAGATTATCCTCATGGACCACTTGGCTTCAGCAACTCACCACACTGACCTCTTTGTTCCTGGTACCTTTGGTCCCTCCTTCTTGCTTTTGAGGTTGACTTAGAGTCTTCCTTTGTTTTGTTTTACAGTTTGTCAATTTGTCAAAAATTTTCCAGCTTTTCTATATGTTCGAGGCAGGAAGAGGGATTCCTATGTCTGCTCAGTCTGCCATAGTGATAAGAAATGTTCCCCTCTTTTACTTCCACCTTATCCTATCATAGAAGTCACTAGTATATGATCTCTTCTTTAGGATGTTTGTGGCAAAGTGGATGGTCCCAGTCACATTTCCTTATTTATTTTTCCCATCTAGGTTTTGGAGTGTCGCAGACCAAAGCCATCATGACTCTGGTCTCTGGGATTCCAATGGGACCACCCCGGCCTCCACTGCAGAAAGCCTCCAGGGAGTTTATTGATGATGCAAAAGCTAAGCTGAAGAGCCTGGATTTTCTTTCTTCCACTGATTTAAAGGATGGAAACTTAGAATCCTATAGCTAGTGCCTCTCTATCAAATTAGAGTGTGTACCTTGAATGGTACCTTCATTTCTCAAGGACTTTTTAGATGAACTTGAACTAAACTCTTTTCTAGCAAATGAAATCTCACCCAATCAACGAGTACTTAAGTGCCTTCTAAGATCCTAAAAAATGTTTTATTTTGTGAAGGGGCAAAACTCTAAAAGGAATCATGAGCCCTGAGTTATTCAATATTTCACAAAATTTTTGTGGAGAAATTTCTGCTTATATGGATGAAATGGAATCAAGAAAAAAATTATAATGATTCATTCCATCTGCCTTTAGGAGCTCCCATTATCTTGATTTCTGATTCTTAATCCTATTTTAATTTTTTTTTTAAATTTTAAACCACTATAATGTACTTCCATTTTAATAAATATTCATTTGGAGTCTAGGACAACTCTGAGCTACTTCATTTAGGCAAATACACTTACTTCAATGCCAAATTACAACATAACTCAACTCTACACAACTATTAACACACCCGCTCACTTGGCTGCTCAGTCTAATTCTAGAATATCTGCTTTCTGATTCACTGTGATGTCAGTTTTCCCCCAAAACACTGCATTAGGTGAAGACTTGCTTCAGTTCTTATCACTCAACGGCCCATTAGAGTAGCTTTTCATAGAACAAAGAAAAGGCCCTCCCCAAAGATGAACTCAAGTCTCCACTTCTTCATATATATAGAGAACTTCTCAGAGCTCAAAATCTCAACCAAAGAGCTCTCCTCTGGGCACCACACACTTCCCCTTTCCCCACAGGAAGTGAATGGCTCCCCCACAGTGCCCTGAATGTAAGTGAAGGCCAATGTCCCCTCTATTGTGAGCCCAGGGGCTAACTGTTATTTCCTGGTCACACTTCAGCACATTTCGAAGATTGGGGGAGGACCAAAAGATTTCACTCTCACTATCCCTACATACCTTCTTTATTCTTTCTTTCTCAGTAGTATGGCTGTTTTAGTCTCCTTTCCAAAAAACCCTGGTTAGTGCCTCTAATAACAAAGTGTATTGCCAGTCAACCCTTGGTGATTGTAAACCTGACTATCCAGTCTATCAATTACTGAGGATTTTTTTTTTTAAGATTTTATTTTATTTGAGAGAGAGAATGAGAGAGAGTATGAGAAGGGGGAGGGTCAGAGGGAGAAGCAGACTCCCCACAGATCAGGGAGCCCGATATGGGACTCGATCCTGGGACTCCAGGATCATGACCTGAGCCGAAGGCAGTCGCTTAACCAACTGAGCCACCCCGGTGCCCAATTACCAAGGATTTTTACTCTTTTTTTTTTTTTTCACTCTTTATATTTTATCTCTGAAAAGGAGAACTTTTTCAAAATGAGAATTTGAAATTATCTGTGGATTCAGTTACCGTTGTCAATTGATCAGTTAAGAGTTGTTATATTTATGGCTCCTCACTCCTCTTTTTGCTCAGGAATGACATGTGCTGTTTTCTCATATTTCTACCTCCTTCAGGAGTAAGGCGTTGGAATAAGAAATTGAACTGCAGTGGTTTATGTGAATTTATATTCTCTCACTGAAACATTTCTTTATAGCCGTTAATTTCCTAAAGGAAGAAAAGGGAGGTTTTTGGTTCTGAAGAGGTCATATCCTTACTTAAGTATTTAAGTCAAATTAATTTTTTCTATGAAGATACATCTTGGCTATCCACTAGCCAAGATTTTTTTTTTTTTTTTCTGTTTTTCTGTTTTTGTTTTTCTGAAGTCAGTGCTTGGAGAACTTTGAAGATGGTTAAGAAGAGTTTGTAAACACAAAGAGAAATAAGATGATTTTTCTTCAGTGACAAGGGTTGAATTTAACTCTGTGTGTTCTAACATCCAACTCCTTGGAAATGAATGTTACATAGCAATAGTTGCTAATAATGCCTTTTATCAAAAGTAAATTTTTGGAGTATTATGAATTTACTATTACCTTTGAGTTTAGTCTTTAATATTAAAACTAAAATAATGATGTGAAATACTTCACTCAGCACGATACTAAAAGCGGATTTTTAACCTCTGTTTCAAGATGGAATTCTGAGATTAATTCACTGGGGATGGTGGAAAGACAAAGTGATTCCAGGGACTGGTTTTACTTAGGATCTCTTGGGTTTATTCACAGATGTAGGAAAATGCCATGGTGTGTGGGGCACCGGTGGAGGTGGGGAATGGGTAATGCATGCTCTTCTCCAGAAAGGCTGTTTGCTACAACTTGAGAGAAATTTCCTCTTGATGATCACATGAAGAGCACATAAAATCCCTTCTGTCAGGAATCTGGAGCCTGAGGGAAGGCTGGGTTAGGCTGGGCTGGGCTAGGCTGGGCTGGGCTAAGGGACATTCTAAAATGACTGCAGTCCAAGACCAGGCACCCACCTAGACTCACCCGGGCTTTTCACATAAGGAAGAATGGAGTGGGACTTAAATGCCTGTCAAAGCAAGAAGAGCAAAGAATGGATCTAACCCATTTAACCACTGTCCTTATCACATGCTCACTCAACCCCAATTTGCTTCAGTTACATGGAGAAGGAATCTTGGAATCAAAGTTATACAAACAGCAGAGCTAAGCCCTTGCTAGAGGGGGGGCCTCACCTTGCACTTTGGGTTTCTGGGGCTGAGAAATGGCTACTTGGTGGACAAAATAACTAACCCAAATCATGTTTTCTCTGCCAACCCCTTTGGTGACTCTTGAGAGATCATTTGTTACATAGGACACATCAGCATTTTAAGTTAGACAACCAAAAGAAAAACCTTACAGAAATTTCCTAGATCTTAATCATGCAATTAGTAAACATAATGGAATGGATTCCACCAAATGTGTATAGAACCTGTATCCAGCAGGACTTGTCACCTGTATCTGTATACCAGGTATAGGGAGTGTTCGAGTTCTACGCCACATGGACCACCTAGGAGCTTGGACATCAAGTTCACCTCCAGTATATTTTCTACACAGCAGCTAGAATGACCTTCCTCAATGCCAGGTTCCCAGATTTGAGCCAGATGTTGGATGAGGTCCTGTGGGCACAGAAAATTTTTTCAAATATCAACCTTTGGTGTAAGGGACAGGCCTCTTGCCCATCACCAAGCACACATAACAAAGTTATCGTTGAAGTCCTGGAAGTGGGCTCCCACTGATGGGCAAGCACATCAGGGGCTCAGAGTGATCTATATATAGTCCAAGTCCAGTTGGCCCCATTTAAGGTCCCCTGCCTCGGGTAGGAGGAGGTGGCACAAGGACTACAAATCGCATTCCTGGGAATCCTTGGACTGCAGTTCAACAAAGTGATTCACCTCAGGACTCAAGGGAATGGGTACATCTAAACCATCTCTTACTAAGAGCTGCAGGTAATATTCACAAGCCTGGGCGGTCTGCAGGTTGTGGTTGCTATCTGGACTCCCCAGAACATTGACCCAGTTAGTATCGTCCTTGTCCTTCCCCTAAGGAAATAACCTCAGTCAGCTTTGTGGTCCCAATTTGAACATTCCACTGAGTATTCCCTACCTTTTGCTCTTTCACTTGTCTGTACAGAACTGCAGTATCTGTGGGTCTTCCATCAAGATCACTGAATCTGGCCAGAGGAAAGTGCTGGAGAATGGTGGTGCAGGAGAGAGACTAACTCCCACAAAGCAGTGAGGGAAGTGTCTCTGTGTCCCTTAGACTTCATCTGAGATTAGAATCCTGGGAAGGAGCCAGACAGGTAAAGAGAAGCAGAGGGTATATTCCTGGTGCCAAAGATCTGACAATTCCAAGCCACAACAGAGGCTGTAGAGTGTGAACATCTGAACAGAAGCCAGTGGGCCAGAGTTCAGACACTAAGGAAAGAATAGGAAGGGAAATAGTTTAAAGGGACCGGAGGGAGCCAGGTCCTGTAAGGCCTTGTAAGTCATAGGAAAGTTAAACTAAAGATGTTACTCTGTGCTTTGAGTGTAAAATAACTATAAGTTGCCCAGAAGATTGAAAAATGGGTTAAGGAAATGGTGCAGAAGGAAGAAAAGTTTACAATAAGGTTTAATTACATTGCAGCTTACGTACAGCTATATATATTGTTACAAGTTTTTGTTATTATATAAACATTTTGTGGAAAAATATATTTTTCTATCTGGAATTTTTTGTTTTCTTGGGTTTGGGTAATATACACCATGATTTTTCTGGTTAAATTTAAGCAAAAATTTTTTTTTTAATTTTGTGGCTTTTTATTTATTTAGCAGTAGGGTGAATTAAACATGAAGGAAGGATAGGTATGTGCATAGTCTGTATTAGATAATTCTAACATTTAAAATATGTACAAGTACAATTTTGCTGGTTGGTTTTTTTCTTCTGCTGATGCTCTTGGTACTTTTTATCCTCATATTTTGTGATTTTTAAATGTGTTTATGTACAGTGGAACCTTATATGTAATAATTACTTCAAGTCTGGATGGAAAATGCATTCTACCAAAGAGGATATGATTTGAATTCATCCAGGTGATTTCTCTCTGCTGACTAGTGACCACTTTAAAATAATTGACTTGAAATTTTTGGGAGCATCACAGGAAGTGAATCTTTTTTTTCCCCCTTACCAAATACCTAGTTTGTAACAGACAAGCTTTCTTTTTTTTTTTTTTTTTTAGATTTTATTTATTTATTCGACAGAGAGAACACAAGAAGCAGGGGGAGTGGGAGAGGGAGAAGCAGGCTTTGCGCCGAGCAGACAGCCCGATGCGGGGCTCGATCCCAGGACCCTGGGATCATGACCTGAGCTGAAGGCAGACGCTTAATGACTGAGCCACCCAGGCACCCCCAGACAAGCTTTCCTAATATGCTCCTCCTCTGGGTTTGTTTTTATTTTTGTTTTTTTGATTTGTTTTTTTTATTTTGTTTTATTGTTGCTATTGCTGTTCACTTTTCACTGCAGGTGTAAGGCATTCTGACTTATGGGTATATATCTCAGCCTCTGTTCACTTTTCACTGCAGGTGTAAGGCATTCTGACTTATGGGTACATCTCAGCCTCTGCACTCTGGGCAGCCTCCAGGCTTTGTCTCCTTTCTCCTAAGCCCCATGCAGCTTTCAGTGAAAGGAAGCTCAAGTCCATCAGGGATCAGCAGACTCTGTCAGGGTAGGCGCTTACATCACGGTTCTCTTGCCTCTTTGGCCTCTTTGCCTCCCCCCCCGTTTGGATTCATTTTTCCCTTTAACTTTTGTTTACCTTTAAGGCATATTTTTACTTTGCTGGCAGCATAGCAATGCATTTTTTTTATTGTATTCTACACTTTTTTGTTATTTTTTTCATTAGTAGATTTATTCGAACATCTCCATTTTTTTTCAAGTTGTTGGAATCTTTCACTTTAGATGCTTCTTTTAAATAGAATAAATTTATATTTTGCTATGTGTTCCAATCTAAGAGTCATTTTCTCTTAATAGGTGAGTATATCCCATTTACCTTCATTGAAAGTTTATTAAAAAGGGGGAGCACCTGGGTGGCTCAGTCAGTTAAGTGTCTGACTCTTTTTTTTTTTTAAGATTTTGTTTATTTATTTGATAGAGACAGAGAGAGCACCCAGAAGTAGGCAGAGCAGCAAGCAGAGGGAGAGGGAGAAAAAGGCTCTCCGCTGAGCAGGATCCCAGGACCCTGGGATCATGACCTGAGCCGAAGGGAAATGCTTAACCACTGAGCCACCCACGTGCCCTGGTGTCTGACTCTTGATCTCACAGACATGAGTTCAAGCCCCGCATTGGGCTTCATGTTGGGCGTGGAGCCTACTTAAAAAAAAAAAAAAGAAAGTTTTTAAAAGTAATTTGTAAAGGAAAACATTTGTTCATGAAAATACAGTACATTCTGTACTAGTATCCAATAGGAAATTACAAATTCTAGATATGTGAAACTATTTAACATTAAAAGAAGGTAACATCTCATTATCTTATAGAAATGTATTAGTATCCATGAAAGCTGGTGTAAGCAGGCAACAAAATGCTCCAATACACAAATGCATGGGAAAATAAAACCCCACACCTTAATATGGGAACCATTAAAGCAAATGTGGATATGGTGTTTCGGTGGCTACATAAGTAAGAAGCATGACAAACTGTAAACTAAATCTAAATGAGTTTCTATAGGATAAAGGCAGAGAAAGCAAATATAATTGTAAAGCAGAACAAAGCAAGTTGCGAAATCCAATGAACTTGAATAAACTTGTAGGTAAACAAATGGCTCCGTAGAAACTGGTACAACAGATACAAAAAAATAACACATGAATGATTTCCAATGTCATGTTTGCTTGTAAAAAAAAAAAAAAGCAAATCTTCACTGATAAATATGCACAGCAAGCCACAAAAATGAATTCTGATAGAAACTGGCATTTCAATGAATACCAGAACTATATAACAAGGAAGAGAGTAATTTTAAAGGTATCAGATATATTACATTCTTTATCCTCAAGATCTAGACAATTGTTCTGCTGGACTCCAGATTATGTACTTCATCTGTGACATTTGCCATCCTGAACAAGTCATCAGTCCTTTAAATTTCAAGCTGTTATTAATAACATTATTAATTCCACTCTTAATAAATTGAACTTTCATCCTACTATGTTCTATTTGCTGTATCTAGCATCCCTCAGGCCCTCTCTTCATGGTCTCCAGTTCTGTATTGTGGGCTCAGCTAGTGGGCATACATAGTTCCACTCAGCAGCCTCTCTCCACACTTACAGCACTAAGTTTGAACTTAATGTTAGGCCAAAGCCTCCCTGGCTTTCGAGCCATGGGTTACTGTTGGTAACGCATTTAAAACTAAATCTTAGAAGGTAAGATTCTATGACTTGTTATTTTGTGAATAAAACTAGTCCAGTGGGCAGAATAGGCATCCTTACTGGGATATCCTGGGTTGGTACATTTTGTCCTTAAAAGGTGGCACATCACTTTTTGTGCTTTGGGACATACTGATCACTGCAGC